CATGCTGCCAGCCCCAAAATTGCGCCCAACATTGTTTAAACGATTGTTTTAGACAAATTCCAAAAATGTTTTTTTGATTAGGGTTTTTCTTTTTAGGAACTTTGAATCATTCTTAACAAAACAATGTCTAAAGTTCCTAAATATTCTTTAAACATCCGCTGACAAAAAAAACATTTCAGGGGGTACTCATATTGTAAACCTTTGTTACTCCCCACGCCTACTGACAAGAAAATATAATCGCGAAAATTTTCGAAAATCAGATATTATGTTTCTTGGATCTTATGACATGTACACCACGAAACACTATGGTCGGTCTGACGGTGGGTCTGTCCGCTAATTTGTGACCTGTCTATAACTTGGAAAATGTTGCTCAAATTTTGATAAAACTTTTACACAAGTGAACGTGGGGCGCTGAATCTTATCATTCTCAACGACCGGCAACGTCTGCTTGATAGTGTCATCCGCTTATCATGTCAGGGACAAAAAAGCTTTGTGGTTTTTGAAAATCGGCGGTAAAGAAAAAGAACAAAAACGAATGCAAAGTCATGTTTGACTTACTTTAGTTTCCCTGTAATAAATATTCCTAGCTAACTTTTTTCTCAGAAGATGTAACTATGCAGTACATAATGCTTTATGAACTGATGATGCCATTGTATGGGAAGTGTAGAGTCAACCTACTTGATGCCATTGTTTTAATTGCTAATCAAGAATTCTTTGGATGCGGCACAGAGGCGGCCGCCAGCTGCATTAACATTAAACGCGGGCAGTTAAAACACAAATGTTTACAATAACAATGCCTTCTGAAATACGAGGAACTTTGGCAATATTATGAGCTTCGTTTTTTCATACTATTTTTCGGGGTTGAAAGTGGCATATGACTATATTTTCTGCATCACGTATACAGGGTTTGTCCGGAAAGTAATAGGACTGAGTCGATATACAAAAATTTATTGAGTCAATCGTTACAATTCTTTAAAGACTTTCAAAAGAGGCTCCTTCTACGTCGATGCAGCGCTGCCAGCGCGATTTCCAAGCATTGAAGGCGTCACGGAAGGCATTATCCGGAATAGCCTTGAGAGCCGCGGTGCATGCTGCTTGGATCCCCTGTCGTCTCAAAATGCTTGCCTTTTAATAATAATAATAAATTGCTTTTATTGCTCATGTAAGTACAGAAAAAGAAAAAGTACATAAATCTAATGCAGTGAGAAAACGGCAAGGTCAATCCGCGCTCTTCCACCTAACCAAAAAAAAAATAAATAAATAAAGTAGTATATCAGTAATAATAATAACAGCAAGAGAAAATTTAAACGTTAACACAGATACATATAGACATATTATGTTTTAAAACTATATATTATACATCCATAGATGACATATAACTGTTGCAGGCACCTTGGTAAAACCTATAATATAAAACGAGTTGATGCTTGAACGAGATTGCTAGAAGTTGTAGCTAATATCTTATGAAGGGAAAATGTCAAAGATCAAACGAAAAAGACTCCTTGACTTTGTCTGGTTTCTGGGCAACCAGGACTGACAGATTCGAATAACGTACATCAGACAGTGAGTAATGGGCAAAGGTCCTACGGATCGCTCAGACAAATAAATGACGAATAGTATGAAAAAGACATACAGAAGAATAATTGGCAAATCAGCGTGCAGTGTTAAATTTAAGTCATCTCAAGCCTCAACATAGTCTTCACTTCTCGCTTAAATCTCAAAATTGATAGGGCTTTAATTCTATCAGGCAGCGAGTTGTAAACCTTAACAATGTCATATGAAAAAGAGCACTTATAATTTGAAGTTTTAAATTTAGGTAGTGAGAGATGATGTTTAAACCTCGTGTTACGACTATGCACTTCTGTACGGGTCTTGATCTTCTTGTAAAGATAGGATGGTGATTCAGTATTGAGTATCTTGTGGTATAGTACGGATCGATGAAGGAACCTTCTTTTTTCTATATTGAGCCAACCTAAGTTCTTTAAGTGAAGAGATATCGGCTGCCGCCTTCTAATACCACTAACAAACCTGACACAAGAATTTTGAATACGCTGAAGGCGCGCCTTATCTCGATGTAGCAATGACGGGCCGTACGCGCAGTCCGCATAGCTGAGGTGAGAAAGAACTAAAGACTCGCACAATATTATTTTTGTTGTCTTGGTTATTATGCTTCTGCTATTGTATAGCAGTTTCAATGATGAAAATGCCCTTTTGGTTATAAAAGAGACATGCTGGGAAAAGCGTAGATATGTATCCATAATAACCCCTAAATTTTTAGCGGAGTTTGTAAAAGTTATTTTGTCTTGTCCGAAATAAATGTCTAAATTATTTTAGTATAGTTCACGATTCTTGTTTTTACCAAATAGTAGAGCCTTAGATTTAGTGGCGTTGACGGAGAGACAATATTTTTTTGTTAGCTGATAAAGAACCTGAAGGTCCTCATTTATGTTACTTAAAGTTCGGTTTATATCTGATTCATTAAAAGCAATATATAATTGAGTGTCATCGGCGTAATAGTGATATGAGACGTGTTTAAAACTATTGTGCAGCTGAGAGGTATACAGAGTGTACAAGAGTGGACCTACAACAGATCCTTGAGGTACACCTCGACAAACTTTAGACAATTCGGATGTTTCACCAAAGCATTTGACAACTTGTGCCCGATGTTTGAGATAATTTCTTAATAAATGAACCGCACTTTTAGAAAAACCCAAGTAGTGAAGAACAGCAATCAGTAGATCATGGTTTAGCTTATCAAAAGCCTTCGAAAAATCTAATAAGATTAAGATGCATAGGTTGCCGTCATCAATGTATTTGCGGATATCATCTGTTACTTTGAGCAAGGATGTTGTGCAGCTGTGACCTGATCTGAACCCTGATTGGTTTTCTGGAAGAATGTCATTTTTAGCAACAAAGTACCTCATTCTAGCATCCAAAATCATTTCGAAGACCTTTGATGGAGTACATAGGATGCTGATGGGTCGAAGGTCGCCCACATCTTCAGGGTAATGCTCTTTTTTGGTATGGGAATTACTTGTGCAAGCTTCCAAATTTTGGGTATTACATTGAATTTTAGACAATAATTAAAAATATGCGTGAGATATGGTAAAATTGTAGAGCAGCTGTACAGCAGCATGCTGATACTTATATTGTCGGCACCAACGGCTGTTGATTTCACTGAAAGCAATTTTTGATATACTTCATTGTCATTAGTGTACGAAAACTCAAATGCTTCATGAGGGAGTTGCGTATCGGAGAAGAATCAGGTTCATTATTATCACCCGAGATGGATTGCATGAAGAAGTTGTTGATTTGGTTTGCAGTTCCTAGGTGTTGAGGTAGTGAATTCTGCTTTTTATTAACTATATTCAATTTTCCGAGTTCTTTCCACATGCGGTTTTTATTTAATGCAACTTGTTGCTCAAAATATACTTGCTTTTCTTTGTTAATCGCGTGGTTAATTTTGTTCTTTAGTGTATTATAGACTAACCAATCATTGTGATTCCTTGTACGATGATACTTTCTTAGTGCCTTATCTCTTAGTTTCATCATTTGTTTCAAATTATAGGGCGAGGCGAGGAAACAAAAAAAAAGTCCAGGGGGCCACATCTGGGCTGTAGGGCGGCTGCGGAAGCGTTGGGATGTCGGCCTTGGTCAGGTAGCTGTTCACAAGAAAGGCGGTGTGGGCCGGGGCAACTTCCAGTCGGCTGCGGTGTCTTGTCGGACCCCACTGACCCTTCGTTTGAGTCTCCTGAGCACTTCCACGTGAAACTTGGCGTTGACGGTTTGTCCAGGAGGAACAAATTCATGGTGGACGATGCCTTTGATGTCAAAAAAGACAATGAGCATCGTTTTCACTTTGGATTTGCTCATTCTTCCCTTTTTTGGGCGAGGAGACGCCGTCGTGTGCCACTCGGAAGGTTGCCTCTTTGTCTCGGGATCATACTCAAAGATCCACGACTCGTCACCTGTGATTACGTTATTCAAAAATTGGCGGTCACTTTCACACATGTTCAAATTTTCTTGGCACACTTCCACTCGCCGCAATTTCTGGACGTCAGTGAGCACTTTTGGGACCATCTTCGCGCACACCTTGCGCATGTTCAAATGGTGTGTCACAATGTCGTGAACCACAGATTTTGGTAAATTTAACATCTGCGCAATTAAACGAATACTTAGTCGACGGTCTGAGTTCAAAACTTTGCGCACACGAGTCTCATTATCACCACTTCTTGCTAAGGCTACACCTGGGTAAGCCTGCTTGATCATATCAAACGTCTCTGTCGCAGATTTACCGAGTTTCACACAGAATTTAATCGCGTACCTCTGCTCTAACAAACGCTGCATTTTCGGCTTGCACCACTCACAGAAACACGTCGCGGGAAAATGCCTGTCCTGACTCTCCAAGTTCTCGGAGACAACTGACCAGCTGCTCATTCGTTAGCTAGGAACGCCCTCTACCGAATCCAGTCGGTGCGCGCAAGTACAGTCATGGCGGAAGAAAATGAGTCCTATTAGTTTCCGGACAAACCCTATATATTTAGATTTCAGTTTATCACCCTGTGGCTTTTTTCAAGTACAGTCTTGTTTGAAATATCATACAGTAAACTGAAAGCTAGACATTATCAGTATGGAGTCCTATGAACATGAAAATCACAGGATAAGTTTCAGGAGTTGCATTAACCGAAAATGGCATATTTCGCACTTTAGAGATAGTAAATGACTTAGAACTCTAGAACTTTAAAGAACGGTTAATAAAAATCTAACTTATTCAGAACGATTCAAAAAATTCAAAAAATGCTTAAAAAAACTGTTTTAACAATGTTTGACGCAATTTTGGGCCTGGTAACGTGCTTATTCGTTGAAACGGGTCCCTTTATTAATTACATTATGCAAAGAAACCGGATCAGAATATTGTTGCGAACATTTTTCTGGTACCAGTAAATAAAATACGGGAGTCAAAAGTGTCAGTAGTTTCCAATAAAAGATTAAAATATATCATTTTCAAAAAGCACTCAACATCTCTACATATTCCGGTCCTGTAGCTGGTATATCACTTCATGAAGTGGAATATTTTATCACACTTGAATCATTATCAGCATTTAGTAGTAGCGTTTCGCGTTTTGAAGAAGCCAGACCGCGGATTACGCGACGATTTATCTATCGCACTGCGCAAGTTTCAGCATGGCTTTCAATATAAACGGTGAGTACATTTACTGTGAAAGCTATCATAGAAGTTTAATGAAATAACTTTAAATGGAAACGCGGAAACTAATCATGCAATGTCGCATTTTCAACGTGACATTTCCTTGACATTGAAATCGTTTACAAGTACATCTTTGGAGGTACGGGGTGACCCACAGGAAGGCGCTCTTTTAATAATATAGATACAACGCTAGTTGTAGGTAGGAAAAATGTCGACAAGTAGATTGACTCTGCTTTTCACGCAATTGTGGACATATGAACTTTGTATCTTTATTGTTTGCCGGCTATGAAAATGTTTGTACCCTGAGATAAGGCCCTAAAGTGGAGTGATTATTAGAAAAAAAACTTTCTTACGTTTTTGTAGGTTTGACATTGGTTGGCTATAGAAACCCTTAGAGCTGGTCATGTAATATAATGAATATGATTGGAGAAAAAGTATTGTGAGATTAATTTTCGTACGCCTTAGTATACTTTATCTGAAGTCACTTGAAATAGCATAAAAACCTTTGGTCGGCGCGTCCTTTGTAATTTCATGACGTATCATAGGCGTGCGGTCATTTATTTAGAACGATAATAATAATGTTTTTATATCACAATAAATGGATTTTACTATCTTCTTATTTTTTTGATTTGGGATAAAAAATACTTATATTGGGAGTTTAATTTATGTTGACTGAAAGTTAAGAAATGGAAAAATTACAGAATTCCAACGTTTGACATAGGCAAATATTTACATAGCAGGTAGGTATATAAAAAGGTATATAAAGACTTACATTATAGCTATTTATATATCATCCTCGCCTTCGGAGCTGTCGCTAGAGTCATCTTGTAGAGGAATTACAACGGGATTTACAGGAGGCAAAACACAATATTCATTTTCTTTTTCAATAATATGCCTAGAACACTGCTTCCATAGGTCTGTGGCAGCAATATGAGATACTGCATCTCTTATTGTGGCCAATAGCGATTCACTTAATTGAGGGGTCTGATTATGAATTCTTACTTTTTTTTTTAAAGCAGCCCCGACCAACTCAATCGGGTTAAAAATGCAGTAATAAGGAGGTAGACGTAATACTTCATGGCCATTTTGCTGAAGCAGATTGTCAACAACATACTCTTTTTCAATTTTTTGTCTTTTAATAAGATCCAATAATATGGCTTTGGTTGATTTTTGTGGTATTTCCATTCCCTTATCCTTCATAAAATCAATAATGTCTTGTTTTTTTGTGCCTGTATTCGGAATTTTGTTTTTCTGTCGGGAATGGTATGGCGCATTGTCCATAATAATCACTGAATTTGGGGAAATGTTTGGTATTAACTGCTGCTCTATCCACTTTTCAAATAAGTCGGAGGTCATGTCCTCATGATAGTCGGCACATGATTCTTTGATATTTTTGGCAGATAACAGCAAGGCATTAGGTATAAATCCATTTTCACTGCCAGCATGGAGAATAATGATTCGTTTTCCACGGTTGGATGGTGCATTTAAAATGCACTTGTTGCTGTCGTCAACCCAGCCGTACTGCACAACATCATGGGTATCATACCACGTTTCATCTAGGTAAATCAGATTTCTTTTCTGCTCTCTATAGATTTTAACTTTGTGCAAAAATTCTTGGCGCAATTCAACGATTCGAGACGACTCCATAATCACCATTCTTTTATCTAATTTTTTGTATTGAAAACCACACAGTTTTACAATACAGTGCAGTGAGTCTAAGCATTTGTAATTATAAAAATCTTCAGGATAATCTTTTAATTTATCCCGTATCATTTCCAACGTGGGCACCAAATTTTCTTTATAAAATCCGTATATTATACTACGAATATCTTCCTGAAAACCCACGTCTATTCTTTATTATAATTTTTGCCCTATGCGCTTTCTGTGGAAGGAATGGTTGACTACATCTCCCCTTTTTATAACCCGATAAATGGTAGACCGACTGATTTTTGTCAGGATACAAATTCTGTTTAAAATTTGATTTTGCGAGGAATCTGGATTTTCGTTTTTCAGACAATCATACATATTTAGGATTACTCTTTGGGTCTGTTCCTCTAAATCTTTATGAAAGAATTCTGCCTGGACAGGTTCATCAACCATCTCCTCGTGGCTTGAAGCATTTTCATAAGGTCTCCAAAGCGCCATATTTAGGACACACAAGAACAATCAACACAACAATTAAATCAACAAGTAAACTGAGTATTCAAAAGTCAAAAACACACAAACTAATAAAATCTATGAAAAAACACGGACAGACTAAAGAAAACACGTTTATTCACCGTTACACGGCACTGGCTAAACTGTTTCAATTTTCAGTAGCCACCTGCACTTGTTCGGAGCTCTGAAATACACGCTTTCTCATTGGCTATGTCCACGCATAGGCGTGCTTTACTCCACGTGAACCGGTGAAACTGCCTTTGATCTTATACGGGGGATATTTGCTGCGAAATTTGGCGATTTTTGCAGCAACAGAGCGTGTTAAATATAGATATATAAAACGCACCCGGTATTTCACAGTGTTTCAAGTGACTTCAGATAAAGTATACTCGTATGAGTTGTTTGAGAAAAAGGAATAAAAACCAGATGAGACTCGTCATTCCGCAAAATATCTTAATATACGTAGAAGACACTACACACTACAGCCCTGAAGTTGCCACCCTGTCTGATTATTCAAATTCAATAAATTATATTGCTCTGGTAGCGACAATTGTTCTATCGCCGAGGTATCGGTTGACCTTTTCTCAGCTGTTCAGGTAAATTCGTCGCGTGGGTCGCGGAGAGCAGTGGCTAGTGCTCTTTTATACAAAACATTTCTATCATTCTAACATATCACAAACTACGATTGCCGAAAAAATGGACAAAAGAAGATGCATTTTTTTGATGAACAAAAATGCTGATATTGCTTATCAATCATCTCTTTATAAAGCAAGAATGTATCAGACGAAAATAATTAAAAATACTCCTTCAAACAGGCTGTTGAATAAAAGGGACCTATGGCCTTAAGGGCAAATATATGTATGAAATATGCGCAGAATCGCTGGGACTAGAAGTTCATAAATATACAGCCGCCAAAAAAATGCGATACACCCTCTTTTCAATTAGCTTCATCCATACCTCGATTCAGTTAATATTGGGAAACCATCTATTACTGTTTAAACGATATTCCAGGGGCAATAAACCACGCAGATATGTGCGAATGACAGCTCGCCCGAAATTCCTGGACACAAAGCGTGGGTTGTTGTCCCTTGGACTGATCCATGGTAAATGAATTGGCAATAATACAGTTAACAGTCGGCGTTATTGGCAAAAGTAATTTGAAAAATGGCGTCCATTTCCCACGCATTTGTGACATCTTATCGTACAATTTTGTATGTAGTGTAAAGGCCTCAAAAGGCCGTAGGATTTTTCAGAAACATTAGTGCACTATTTTCATGAAATACTACAGGATTTTGTTCACTATTAATAATATCATTAAATTTTTATGTAAGAAATCGCAAACCTGCTTTTGAGTTTAATATACTAAGTGACATATAAATCCGAACACCCAGTTTAAATGGTTTTATTTTAATGAAAGTTGGTGAATGTATTTATCTTACTGTAAATAACAAGAGAAAAAATTTTCAGCCTTATCATTTGGACATTCCGGTTTTTATACTGCTTTTTTTTAATTCACTAACGTTCTAAAAATAAATATTTCAGCCGCAGTAAAGAATCAACGTTGGCGGATTTTGGTTCTTGACATCCTTTACGATCGGTTACGATGCCTATAGTATGGAGACCTGTACGATTTCGTCAACTTAGTGAGTTTGATAGGGGCCGTATAGTGGGACTTCGGGAAGCTGGACTTTCTTTTCGGGCAATTGCAGTTAGAGTGCAAAGAAGTGTAGACACTGTGGTTAGGTGTTGTCTGGCATGGCTTCGAGAAGGCCGTACGCAAAGAGCAAGGGGCACTGGACGCCGCCGTAGAACAACAGACCGTGAAGATCGCCACCTAAGATTATTGGCCTTAAGGGACCGTTTCTCCACTACCAGGTCCATTGCAAATGGCAAATGGAACAGTATTGTCTTTAGTGACGAGTCTCGATTTTGTTTAGGCATACACGATGGTCGTGCCAGGGTTAGAAGGCGACGTGGTGAAAGGAGGAATCCACAGTTTTTTGTTGAAGGATATGTTCATCACACTGTTGGAGTTATGGTTTGGGGTGCTATAGCTTATGGTTCCAGGTCACCTTTAATCTTCATCAGAGGTAACATGAACGCGCAGCGTTATATCCACGAAGTTCTAGATCCCCATCTTTTACCTATCTTGACACCCTGGCAGATCCAACTTTCCAACAAGGTAATGCCCGACCACACGTTGCAAGAGTCACAATAGACTTCTTTCAACATAATGATGTCACATTGTTACCATGGCCACCAAGATCTCCCGACTTATCCCCAATTGAGCACTTGTGGGATATGATGGGTAGGAGATTGCTCAATTTGCAACGTCCTCCTCAGACTCTAGAAGCACTTCGAGAGGAGTTGGTGGTTGCCTGGTATGAGATACCACAGGAGGACATTGACCACCTGATCAGAAGCATGCCTAGGCGCGTTGGAGAATGCGTAGCACATCAGGGTGCATCCACACATTATTAAAGATCAAAGGGCTTTAAAGCAGTGCAATCATTTTGAAATTTTTACCATTTACTTATTATGCTTCATTAACTACTTATACAAAATTTTATTAAAATAAAACCATTTAAACTGGGTGTTCGAATTTATATGTCACTTAGTATATATTGCAACAGGAGAATGCCACACTGAGTGTCAGCTAACAGCATTCGAAAATGAACACGAGTGCTTTGAACTTTGGTACAAAAATGTTGCGTTTTGTGTCAAAAGGTTGAATTTTATGAAAAATTGTTACACATCTTACTCGCTATCTTGATCTAAATTATCTCTCTTCTATCCCATACCGCAGCGTTAACTGACCCTGAGTTAAATCAAATTGTTTGTAATTCAACACAGCTGTGCCTTTAATTTGACTTACGCGTACACATGTAAAGCTGCAGCAAATGAGATTGTTTCTTAGATATTTCAATTTTGATTTTGCCATCAACGTGTTGGAAATGTGATTTTACGATGATCAGCAGTCTCATTTGGAAGTAACCTTAGCAATTTATTATCTCATAAATATAATCAATGTCGCGGTTATATCGTTCAGCAGCTGTATCGGAAAATAATAACGATGTGAAACTCACAGCTTGAAAAAGATAATAAAAAATAACGTCCAGTAAAATTGATGAGATCTCCCGGGTGGTAAGGTGAGCAGTTTTCTTAGTTTTTCAAAGTCGAATCAGAGTCGACAAAATTCCGAAGTAAGAGTAAATTGCACTTTATATCAGGCCAAAAATAGCGTACGCATGTCTAAAAATGTAACAACACAAGAAGTTTTTTGTTTTATACTTCAGTTCCAACGACTTTAAAAAATGACATTTCGTTCTGTAACGTTCCTGAAGTTTACTTAAATCCTTCTTCAGACAAAAAAAAAACAGTATTATGGCAACTATAGTTCAGCCTGCACGGCCATATTGCATCACGTTCCGGGTATACAGGGTGTTCAAGATAAGGATCTTATGCATGGGGATCTCAGTAGCTATGAGAGATACAGCTTATCTTAAAGTAGAAAAAAGCTGCGTATTTACATGCCGTTGAGAAACTTGTAAAAATTTCAGGGATTACTGAGATTTGAGAAAAGCTAAATTGGTCAAATATTTTTTATTCTTTCTGACCATATTTCCTGAGTTAGCAAGAAATTAATCAATTTTTCATGAGAAATTATCATTAAATTTATTTTCTCTATGGTCTGAAAAAAGTACACCATGTATCTAATGACATTTATACGAATTCTACGATGTATGCGTTATATTTATACTAAGTGACATATAAATCCGAACACCCAGTTTAAATGGTTTTATTTTAATAAAAGTTGGTGAATGTATTTATCTTACTGTAAATAACAAGTGAAAACATTTTCAGCCTTATCAGTTGGACATTCCGGTTTTTATACTGCTTTTTTTTAATTCACTAACGCTCTATAAATGAATATTTCAGACGCAGTAAAGAATCAACGTTGGCGGATTTTGGTTCTTGACATCCTTTACGATCGGTTACGATGCCTAGAGTACGGAGACCTGTACGATTTCGTCAACTTAGTGAGTTTGATAGGGGCCGTATAGTGGGACTTCGGGAAGCTGGACTTTCTTTTCGAGCAATTGCAGTTAGAGTGCAAAGAAGTGTAGACACTGTGGTAAGGTGTTGTCAGGCATGGCTTCGAGAAGGCCGTACGCAAAGAGCAAGGGGCACTGGACGCCGCCGTAGAACAACAGACCGTGAAGATCGCCGCCTAAGGTTATTGGCCTTGAGGGACCGTTTCTCCACTACTAGGTCCATTGCAAATGAATGGTTTGCAGAATACGGAAGACCTATTGGCATGCGAAGTGTTTACCGACGAATGAGAAGTTTTGGCTTGTTTTCATATCGGCCACACTGGGTCCTCCCTTTAACTCGAAAACACCGACGTAATGGCCTTGAGTGGTGCAGACAACGGTCACTCTGGGATCAGGAATGGAACAGTATTGTCTTTAGTGACGAGTCTCGATTTTGTTTAGGCATGCACGATGGTCGTGCCAGGGTTAGAAGGCGACGTGGTGAAAGGAGGAATCCACAGTTTTTTGTTGAAAGACATGTTCATCACACTGTTGGAGTTATGGTTTGGGGTGCTATAGCTTATGGTTATATCCACGAAGTTCTAGAACCCCATCTTTTACCCTATCTTGACACCCTGGCAGATCCAACTTTCCAACAATATAATGCCCGACCACATGTTGCAAGTCACAATAGACATCTTTCAACATAATGATGTCACATTGTTACCATGGCCACCAAGATCTCCCGACTTATCCCCAATTGAGCACGTGTGTGATATGATGGGTAGGAGATTGCTCAATTTGCAACGTCCTCCTCAGACTCTAGAAGCACTTCGAGAGGAGTTGGTGGTTGCCTGGAATCAGATACCACAGGAGGACATTGACCACCTGATCAGAAGCATGCCTAGGCGCGTTGGAGGATGCGTAGCACATCAGGGTGCATCCACACATTATTAAAGGTCAAAGTGCTTTAAAGCCGTGCAAACATTTTGAAATTTTTATCATTTACTTAGTATGCTTCATTAAGTACTTATACAAAATTTTATTAAAATAAAACCATTTAAACTGGGTGTTCGGATTTATATGTCGCTTAGTATATTTTTTTGCCAATAAGCAAAGTGTGTTCGGACACCGACACTACACCGGCGAAGCGGTTCTTTGCGATAGCGTGAATGAGGAAATGATTTGCAGTTTTTCTATTTAGAGCACCAGCATGTTCGGTACAATCCCCTGAAGGACGAATGGGTGGTGGTGTCGCCTCACAGAGCCCTCAGACCATGGAGCGGTCAAGTCGAGACGGCACCCACCGAAGAGGTGCCCCAGTTTGATCCGAAGAACCCCCTTTGTCCAGGGGTGAAAAGGACCTCTGGCAAGGTCACCCCTATGTACGAGTCAACGTACGTCTTCACCAATGACTTTCCTGCTTTGCTTGAAGAAGGACCGGAACCTGAGGATAGTGGTGATCCCTTATTTCAGATGAAGTGAGTAGTATGATCAGTCATCTTGTTTTGGTAAAATATTGTTAGTTAGCTTCATTAGACCTGGTTTTTCAATCGCTGGTTAACTTCCTTGTTAGCTAACTATAACCAGGAAGTTAGCTTATATATATCTTGACAGTGCCAGTTAACTTAGTAGAAGCTCATAATAAATTAAGGTTGCAAATCTGCATTTGTGGTTCTTAGATATCGTGTTCTATGCGTTTTGTGCGCTCGGCATTTGTGTCTTGTATCTGATCCTCATACCATCTTATATGTCATACAAGAAAGCTTGTCTTTTTTGAATTAAATTATATAAAAAAGTCGAATTTGATGAAAACCTTCGTCAAGGAAGGTAAAGTTTTTTGTACACTTTACGCTAGGTCCAAAAATACGCTCAAAATGCAAGTAAGTTTGTAAATATCTGTTAAATATCGTATTTATCACTTTTTTTAGCGTCATTTCTATATTTCGCTACCCAAAAACAAAGGTATCTAGCAACGGGAAAAAATAAGGCAATTCCTGTTGCTAAAATTTATAAAAAAACTGTTTTCTAGCATGGAGCAAGAGAAAAGAGCTCAAAATTTCTCGAAAGATGAGGGAATGATGTTTGTATTATTGGTTAGTAAAAACAAAGGCATAATAGAAAACTAGACAAGTGACTCAGTTTCCTGGAAAGAGAAAGGTTCTGTTTCCACAGTCCTTTTTATAAGAGGAAATCTTGCAAGGAAGTCCAGGTCATACTGTAAATAACAAGTGAAAAAATTGTCAGCCTTATCAGTTGGACATTCCGGTTTTTATACTGCTTTTTTTTAATTCACTAACGCTCTAAAAATTAATATTTCAGCCGCAGTAAAGAATCAAGATTGGCGGATTTTGGTTCTTGACATCCTTTACGATCGGTTACGATGCCTAGAGTACGGAGACCTGTCTGATTTCGTCAACTTAGTGAGTTTTATAGGGGCCGTATAGTGGGACTTCGGGAAGCTGGACTTTCTTTTCGGGCAATTGCAGTTAGAGTGCAAAGAAGTGTAGACACTGTGGTTAGGTGTTGTCAGGCATGGCTTCGAGAAGGACGTACGCAAAGAGCAAGGGGCACTGGACGCCGCCGTAGAACAACAGGCCGTGAAGATCGCCGCCTAAGATTATTGGCCTTAAGGGACCGTTTCTCCACTACCAGGTCCATTGCAAATGAATGGTTTGCAGAACACGGAAAACCGACGTAATCGCCTTGAGTGGTGCAGACAACGGTCACTCTGGGATCAGGAATGGAACAGTATTGTCTTTAGTGACGAGTCTCGATTTTGTTTAGGCATGCACGATGGTCGTGCCAGGATTAGAAGGCGACGTGGTGAAAGGAGGAATCCACAGTTTTTTGTTGAAAGACATGTTCATCACACTGTTGGAGTTATGTTTGGGGTGCTATAGCTTATGGTTCCAGGTCACCTTTAATCTTCATCATAGGTAACATGAGCGCGCAGCGTTATATCCACGAAGTTCTAGGACCCCATCTTTTACCCTATCTTGACACCCTGGCAGATCCAACTTTCCAACAAGATAATTCCCGACCACATGTTGCAAGAGTTACAATAGACTTCTTTCAACATAATGATGTCACATTGTTACCATGGCCACCAAGATGTCCCGACTTATCCCCAATTGAGCACGTGTGGGATATGATGGGTAGGAGATTGATCAATTTGCAACGTCCTCCTCAGAGCACTTCGAGAGGAGTTGGTGGTTGCCTGGAATGAGATACCACAGGAGGACATTGACCACCTGATCAGAAGCATGCCTAGGCGCGTTGGAGAATGCGTAGCACATCAGGGTTCATCCACACATTATTAAATGTCAAAGGGCTTTAAAGCAGTGCAATCATTTTGAAATTTTCATCATTTACTTATTATGCTTCATTAAGTACTTATACAAAATTTTATTAAAATAAAACCATTTAAACTGGGTGCTCGGATTTATATGTCACTTAGTATATTATCATAGTAGTTCGGCCGATAGCGGATTATTTTTGGCCTTCTTGCCTCGTCGTATCTGCTACAATGTATATGTACATTGTATATGCAGCCACGTCATAATCCATAAACATGATTCGGCTTTAATTTATATTTATAATAAATAGCGCCAAAGTCTGTATCAACAAATGTCAGATATTGTTATTTAACTTCAGCCTTACTAAAGGATGTCTCAACAAGAGCGCCATTTTTTGTACAAATGGTGTTTACTTGATGACAGCTGTCATGTCCAGACCACGCGATTGGACGTCATGGACCAGTATCCAAACGAGCAATGTATAAAAATTGTGAAAACTCACTACAAAAATGGAGAAAATTCACTTTGGTGAATGTGAAGACCACTGTTTGTCGCCGTCCTGGTCGGGTACGTCAGTAAGCAGAACTGCCTGGTGCGCATATGTAGTGGCGGAGTGTTTGGACCGTATTTATTCGAAAATGCAGCTGGAACTGGGGTAACTGTTAACGGTGTGCGATATCGCGAAATGTTAACCGCAACAAAGGTGCTACTGCGGCACCAAGTTTCCAGACCGTGATCTCTCGGTTTGGCGATCGAAATTGGCCACCAAGATCGTGCCATTTGGCGCTATGTGAAGAAAAGGTGTATGCGAACAAGCCACAAACAGTTGAACGCCTTAAAGAAGAGATACGGCGCGTTATCGACGAAATAGAGCCACAGTTTTGTGCGAAAACGTTATCCAGAATTATAAGAAAAAACTGACTCTGTGCCAGAGGTTTCGTGGTGGCCATTTACCGGATGTCCTATTTCATGATTAATCTTAACTATTCCTCTTCATGTTGAAATATAGGTACTCGCTTAATTCGACAAAGAAAACCTGGGTTTTTCTTCAAAATCAAATCCGGTGTTCTTATTGAGACGCCCTTTAGTTAACTCATAGATGGAATTCTGGTTAAAGTTAACTACCGTTTCACTGTAAACATGATAGTAAAAAACGCTTTTTCATAGGTAACTGTAAGTTAAGACCAAGGCCGCAGTTCATCTGCAAGGAATATACCTAATCAACAGTTTTAGGCCAAAATTAAGGCCGAATTCGCTGAGGTCACAGCTCGAGTTTTCTTGAAAGACTGTATGTGCCTGACAGATAGGTCTCGTAGGTCTACGTCGTACTTCTTGCTGCAGCTTGGTCAAAGGTCAATGTTGGACAATGATCTTTTGTATTGAATGTCTGCCTTCTGCTAAGCCTCTATTCTTCTAATCTTCTATTCTTCTATTCGTCATTGTCCGCCAGAGCGGTCCGTGGGAACTTGCTCGACTGTGTGGTCTACTGACTCACGCAACGGAGGGTTGCTGTGCGTGTCCGCTTGACTATAACGTAACTGCCCCTTATGTTTGATGTAGTCCTTTAGGTAAGGGATGTCGAGGTCTCAGTGAAGGGTCTCGTTCGAGACATACCATGGTGCGTTAGTGATGGTTCGCAAGGCTCTGTTCTGCAAAACCTGTAGATTACGCATATGCGTTTTGGCAAGAAAACACCATGCTGCACATGCGTGAGCGATAGCTGGTCTGATAACCATCTTGTATAGCCGAACTTTGTTAACCAAACTTAATTTTGAGGTTCTACAGAGTAAAGGGTAGAGTTGCCGAAAGGTAATTTGGAATTTAGTTTTTAACGCTTCAGTGTGATTCTGCCAGGTCATCCGCCTGTCAAGAGTGACACCGAGAGACTTAGCAGAATTTCCCCATGGTATGCGAGCTCCATTCACTGAAATCTCAGGCGGGGCGCCGCTAAAATTAATCTTGATAAACTTGATATTTGTATCCGCGTGACAATTCAGCACGGTGCGCGTTAGAAATGCAATATCAGACCCTAAAGGAAATACTATACATTCAAGCCGTAGGACCTTTGGGTCAAATTTTTGATTTTTAATACTTATAAATAAGCACTTACTAGCAAACCGACTTGTCCTTGAATATACACCAACTTGCTTATAAAAAAGTGATAACAAAGCTTGGCTACAATTTTTTTAGGGCTGCCAAAGGTACCTGCAGAGTGATCTGCTACCACCCCCATTCCAATGTATACTTTTCCAATCTTTCATTGAAAGAAGTAGTTTGCGTTGTGCATGAATGGATCAACCAGTACGTAGAACTGGGCAAGAAGTATAGCTGGGTGCAGATATTCGAGAACAGAGGAGCCATGATGGGTTCGTATGAAATCTTTATGTTGTAAAATTAGAATATAAGTTGAGACTTTGTTTTTGCCAGTGAAATTTCAGCATCAAACAGTAAAGACGATAACTCTAAGCATCACGTCTGAATAGCTGGATATATTGATATATTTTGGCCCAAATCAAATGCAGCAAGATTTGCCAGCATTCAATTTTAGATTGTGAGCACCATATATGTTAATATACTGCAAATCTTGATTGATTTGATGTTGACCAAGCATATAAATTGAAGGCATATGGTATAACAGGAAGTGTTTTAGATTGGTTTAGAAATTATTTGTCTAGTCAAGTTACAAAAGATAATGACACTATTTCATCAAAAATTGAAAATACGTTGGGTGTTCCACAGCGCAGTATCCTGGGACCACTTCTTTTTATTTTATACATAAATGTACCTGCCATAGTCAAAAAATGCAAAATTCAGATTTTCGCCGATGACACTATGATTTATATAAGTACTAAAAATATTCAGTCTGGTATCTCTTATATAAATGAAGACTTGAAACTTGTCTCATAATGGTTAGCATCTAACAGACTAAAATTAAATACAAGTAAAACGAAAGCCTTGTTAATCGGAAAAAAACAATGTACAAATGTTCAACTGAATATTGATGGTGAAGATATTGAATTTGTAGAAAATTTTAAATACCTGGGGGTTTTTGTTGACTCCCGATTAATTTTTGATATTCATTATGAAAAAGTTTCTGGATGTCTGAGTTCATAGTATAGCAGAAAAATTATCTATAATACCATCATTCTTCCAAATTTCTTGTACTGTTCGACTATTCTATATTTAGCCAATAATTCCATTTTTGAAAGACTGCAAATTTTACAAAATAAATGCATGAGAATAATACTAAATAAAGATAAATATACTCCAATTAGGCAAATGCTTAGCAAATTAAAATGGCTCAATGTAAAAAATTTTATCAAATATCTTGTAAGGATATTCATTTATAAAGTAAAAAATAATATATTTCCATCAAGTCTAACTAATTTAACATCATCAAATGTCGACCATCATTTACATAATACCAGAAATAAAGATGACTTCCATTTAATGACCGAAAAGTATAACATATGCTACAAATCTGTATTCCATCAAGGGTTGATTGAATATAATAAATTATACTCAGAGATAAAAGACCAGAGAGCTTTGACAAAATTTAAAGTAAAATTGAGAAATCACTTGTTAAATCTACAATTATAGGTTGCCCAGCATTTACATCATTCACCATATGGCTTGAATTTACTAGTTCTAAGTTGTTTACAATTATTCTGTTTATGTAGCCAAATGTGCTAAATAAATCTTTCTACTCCTATATATTCATCAGGATCGAAGCTGTTATAAAGTTGGGTATCATCGGCGTAATGATGAACGATTGAGTAGCTGGCGGTTTCATGAAAGTCACATCTATAAAGAGCAAATAAAATTGGACTCAAAATAGATCCTTGAGGGACACCAAAATTTCTGACTAAAGAAGTTGCTTTATTGTTTTCATATATGACTGACTGTGAGCGATCAGTTAAGTAGCTTCTAATCAGCGTGCAAGCCGATGAGGACAGGCCAAAGTATCTAAGCTTTTTACAGAGAATATTTACAAATATATACTTTTAAGTCTAAGGTCCAATCTCAAAATCATTAATATTTGACGGTCCCTTGAACCAATGGGAAAATACCTTATCGAAATGTAATTTGACGGAAGCTGTCAAAGGTATCTGAATATCAGTGATTTCTATTAAAATATAGAATAAAATCGTGAAAATTCGACTCTATTATAAACAAGACCACTTTTTGAGGTAAAACAAATTTAAGAAATACAGTTAAATTGTTTTACTTCATCCGAAAAACTCATCTTACCGGTTCATTCATTCTGATCAAAAAGGTGTAATTAATTTAAATAACGGCTTAATAAATTTGATTGAACTAATGCGTGTTGGTTTAATTAAGCTTGTTTCGTAGGATCAAATACACCGTTCTTTGAATCGGAGCATAAGTAAACTAATTAAACTTGGTAGCTGTCACGTAGTTGATGAAATTTTATAAATTTATTAATGTTCCTGACGACTGAGGAGGCTGTGTGTATTGTTTGGTGATAAAGAAGCATTCGGTTTTCGTACATTTACGGTATCAGTTAAATGCTAAATTTAATGTAGCTGATTGCGAAGCCTTTTTGTGATTGCTCAAAATGCCTAGAGTGCGTAGAATTCACCGGGTGTCCAGCTAAGTGACTTTGAGGGGGGTGGAATTGTCAGACAATGCCAGACCGCATGTTGCGAAAGCATCGTTAGCCTTCATGGATCAACATCGCATCAACCGTTTCTTTGGCCACCACGATCGCCTGACCTATCTCCAATTGAACATGTCTGGGACATGATAGGTCGCAGGCTCTTGAATTTGCGTGTCAATGAGTGAATAATAAATCGTGGATCCTCGACACATTATTGAACCAGCTTCTGCTGTCAGTTGACGCATCAAACTGAAAACTTAATCATTCTACTAGTAAGCGATACTGAACATATATGCCAAAAACTATTAAGATCGGATGAACGTGCGTAGATGTTTACCTTTTTTTTGTTCTCAATAGAGATGTGGTTTATTGTTCAAGTGTGGTTTAGGTACGTTATTGTCCCAAGCTCTTCAGTCATAATTTGGTCAGACAGTAGCCTTCTGAATGGGACAGGCGACTATCTAAAATTATCCTCAACCATTTCTCAGGTTGCTCCAATCCTCATCCTCACTGTCAGATATGGGCTTCGTCTTTCCTACCAAACGAGCCTAGGATCAAGGACAAGAACCTTAGAGAGTACTTCAAGAAGCACAAGCGGCCTATGCTTATAGATTATGTAGAAAAGGAGTTGCTCAAGAAAGAAAGGGTCGTGTATGAAAACGAAGAATGGGTGGTTGTGGTACCCTTCTGGGCCGTATGGCCTTTTGAGACTATGGTGCTGCCTAAAAGACAGGTCAAGAGGTGAGTGTTTTTGGGATTCTGTTTTGAAACTTCCACAGGGCTACGTTCGTGAATTGCTACAGAGTGTAGTTTCTAGTAGTCTCTAACCTTAAGCGTTTATAGTCGTTTGACGTAACTATTTTAAACGTTCAGTAACACTTTTGGAACGCCAAAAGTGCACTTTCGTTTCCGTTCTCAAAACCTTGGGAATAAGAGTATTGCCACTTGTCATTCCCGTATTTAATTGTTTCCTTACTTTATTTGGTTATTAACCCTACGTTAGTCGCGCGGTCTATGACTGTAGACCACGCCTATTTGAACGACGCTATTTTTGGCAAATAAGTCATTTCGCATGCGCGCCGCTGAATACCTGTGGTCGACACTCAAGTTTATACGTTCAGTAGACAAGTCGCAGTGAAATAGTCAGCTGGTAATTCTTACGCACGTCTGAATACGATTGGTCTACGATTGTAGACCCCGCGCCTAACAGTGCGACGTTATTCGTCAAACACGCAGTTGAATTGTTTAAATAACAATTTGTTATAAATTAGGTAAGAGATATTCTTTCATTTACTACTTAGAATTATATTTTTATTTGTCAAAAATAGATTTTAGTTTGTATTTTTACAAGTGTATGTATTATTTTGGCAAAATAATGGTATAGTTATAAGTAATTTGTTTCAGAAAAAAAATGTCTGATTCTAAGAGAAGGTGTGTAGAAAGAAGTAGGGATCCAGATGTTTGGCTTAGATGGTATGAAGAGTTATCAAGTGGGAAGGAGAGTCCATTAGATGAAAATGAGGAAGATGAAGAGGAGAAAAATGAAAATACAGTGGAAAGAAGTGATCATGAGACGGACTCAGAAATAGAAATTTTCATCAGATGTAAATGAAAGTCCATCAGAGAGCGACGGTGAACAAACTGATAATGGCGGTAGCAAATTGTACATAGGGAAGGATAAAACAACTAAGTGGAGGAAAGAATGTGCTAATGTACAAGTGAGAACGCGTGCTCATAATATTATCACACATTTACCTGGATATAAAGGTGATGCCCGCAATGCAATGCTTGCAATTGACTGCGTAAAACTTTTTGTGTCCGACGCCATTATACGAATTCTAGTTTGTTCAACAAATATATACATTGAGAACATAAAACATAGATTTGACAGGGATCGAGACGCTAGATTAACTAAAGAAACAGAGATAAGAGCTTTGATAGGGATTTTGTTTTTGATAGGAGCACTGAGAAGTTCAAGAAAAAATGCTCGTAAAATATGGGATAATTCTAAGGGCAATGGAGTTGAATCCTGTTATCTCGCGATGAGCGAAAAACGATTTCGATTTCTCCTCCGTTCTTTGAGATTCGACGATATTACAACGAGAGCTGAAAGAAGAGAACTTCACAAATTAGCACCCATTAGGAATGTTTTCGAAATTTTCTTGGCTAATTTTCAAAACAATTTCATTCCTAGTGGATACTTGACTGTTGACGAACAATTGTTGGCCTTTAGAGGGCGCTGCTCATTCAAGCAGTATATACCCAATAACCCAGCGAAGTACGGAGTAAAGATGTTCGCTCTGGTTGATGCTAAAACTTTGTACACTTTCAATCTCGAACGATACGTTGGTACTCAACCTGCTTTCCCGTATAAGTTGAACAATTCTGCCGAAGATATTGTATTACGATTAGTTCAACCAATAGAGGGAACTAATCGCAATCTTACCGGAGATAATTGGTTCAGCAGCATTCCGTTGACAAGAAAATTGCTACAGCAAAAAAAATTAACATACATTGGTACAATGCGGAAGAATAAGCGTGAGATCCCTGTGGAGTTCTTACCTAATAAACAAAGAGAAGAGAAAACATCATTCTTTGGTTTTCAAAAAGATATTACGATGGTATCCTACTGCCCAAAGAAAAATAAATCTGTTATTTTGGTGTCCTCCATGCATCATGATAATGCCATTGATCCGGAAACAGGGGATGCAAAAAAACCAGATATAATAACTCGATACAATAAAACTAAAATTGGTGTTGATTTGGTGGATCAATTATGTGTGAATTATAGTGTCGCAAGAAACACATGCCGTTGGCCTATGGTAATATTCTTCGATCTATTGAATATATCGGGCGTAAACGCCGTTTGCGTGTATAAAGCAAATCATCCCTTAGAAAACAAAGTCCTTAGAAGTGCATTTATTGAGGAATTTGCTTGGGAATTGATCAAGCCGCAGATAGAGGCGAGGTCAATTATCACCTCTTTACCGATAGAACTAAGAAGACGAGCACGTGCTTTTCTTGGTCTTGAAGCTATTGTAGCCCCTCTTCCTCTACCGCCAAAACCAGAAAACTACGTTGGTCGTTGTCATGTTTGTCCTCGAAGTCACAACAAATCTTCCAGAAAAGCTTGCGTGAAATGCAAACGTTATGCATGCAAACAACACATGGCAGACATATGCATTCACTGTTTGCCCGACTGAAAATATTCTTACTTTGTCCTTACTTTTCTAATGAATGTCAAAGAGTTTTTTTTTTTGTTAATAGTATTTTAATGTAAGTTGCTATCTGCTAATATCAGAAAATTACTTTTGGTTGAATTTTAGCGCGTTAAGATTTTGTGTTGTTGTTCAAAGCTAACCAGAAGCTAATAAAGGGATAAAAAAACATATTTTTTGTTTTTTTTTTCTCAAAACTGCATCTGTCAATCTACGAGATTCCATTACTGTGTACCGTATTGCATTACCAAGCGCAACCCATGTCTGTCAACTGTCAATGTTTTTTATCACGATATGATGATACTACAAAACACTGTGACACAAATTAATATTCGATAGCTTGTAACTGCCTTTTTAATCGGTATTGCTGTCTTTTTTACATGGTAACGGGTGATTTTTTAAGAGGTATACGATTTGATTTTCAAAAATAAAACACAAAAAATTTGAAAAAACGATTAAATCTTTATTTGAGTCGATAGAACGCTCGATATAATTTAATGTTTAAAGATTATTTCATGTAAATGTTGGCCGCGGCTCCGCTTTAGATGGCCCATGCGCAAGGTCCAATTTTGGCACACTCTCTCCAACATATCGGCCGGTATCTCACTAATAAATGCTTCAATATTGGCTTCCAGTGCGTCAATCGTTGCTGGTTTATCCCTGTAGACATTAGCCTTAACACGGCCCCACAGGAAATAGTCCAACGGCGTTAAATCACACGATCTAGGCGGCCAATTGACGGGCCCCAAACGTGAGATAAACTGTTCACCGAACTCGCTTCTCAATAGGGCCATTGTTTCGTGTGTGGTGTGGCATGTGGCACCGTCTTCTTGAAACCACATGTCAGCCAAGTCCAGCTCTTCCATTTTGGGCAAAAAAAAGTTTGTTATCATCGCACGGTAGCGCTCGCCATTCACAGTTACGTTCCGGCCATTGTCGTCTTTGAAGAAGTACGGCCCGATGATGCCACCGGCCCATAATCCACACCAAACAGTGATTTTTTCGGGATGCATTGGTAGCTCTTGCAATGCTTCTGGCTGGTCTTCACTCCAGATGCGGCAATTTTGCTTGTTAACGTACCCATTCAACCAGAAATGAGCTTCGTCGCTGAACACAATTTTTCGATAAAAATGTGGATCTTCCTCCAACTTTGCCACCGCCCATTCACCAAATGGGAAACGTTGTGGGAGGTCGTGTGGCTTCAATTCTTGCACCAGCTGTATCTTATAAGGTTTTACACCCAAATCCTGTCGCAAAATTTTCCACGTAGTGGAGTAACAGAGGCCCAATTGCTGCGAACGGCGGCGAATCGACGTTTCACGGTCATCACTAACACTGGCGGATACAGCAGCAATATCTTCTTCAGTCCTCACTCTACATCTGCGTGTTGGTGGTTTAATGTCCAGTAATGTAAACTGGGTTCGAAATTTAGTCACAAGCTTCCGAATAGCTCCCTCAGTAGGTCCACCAAATTGCACATAAATTGGAAGCAGTGCTCGATGCACTCTCTTAACCGAGCATGAATTTTGATAGTAAAATTCAATAATTTGCAAGAGTTGTTCGTTCGTAAGTCGATTCATGGTTAAATTATAGACCAAACTGAATAAGTTTGACAATGACACAAGACACGATTCACGCGTCATCTGTCAAAAACAGTGTTGCCAAAAAGATACTAGCAAAAAAATCACCCATTGCATACTGTGTAATAGACTCCATGTAATCTTGCGATTATACCAAGTTACAAACGGCATTAAGAAAAGTTTTATTTCTTCTTTTGTTGTCAGTACTTTCCTGTCTTTCATCAGGATTTTTATGAAACATTCAGCGAGGCAGGAAGACGGGAAAATCCGATAATCTCAGTTACTTCTGTGAAAAGTGGAAAGTTTACTCGAGTATTCCACGATCGCTATCGCCAGTTCCTTGAGCCATTTCAAGTTACTTCCAGAAACTGGTGCTTACAAATTCCTTTCAACTTCTGTATTCAAATAATTTATCCTGAGGAAGTTTTTGCGAAGCAGACTCGGACTAAAATAAATCTACCAGACTGAACCATGTTCTTATTATAAAACTTCTATCGCCGATTGTAAATTAAAAATCGTGTCAAGTAGATTGAATCTATACTTCCCACGCCATCGGAACGACTCTAGGACGTAGGTTTTGTAATGCACTATTTGGGCTTTTCATGGAAAACAAATTCTCAGTTTGATCATTTTTCGTGATGTGTATTTGTCATGTAACACCCTAAAACGGCGATTACAATAATGCATTTGCAGTTAGTGTGGGAAGTAAAAGAGATCTCTTATGTCAGATTGCAGATATTGCAGAACTCATATTACGTGTCAGCAATGCATTCCACTTGAATATAGTCGAGCATATCGATGGGTCCAATGAAAACTGTTGCAACACAAAATACACAGTTTTAAGTAAATCGTCTTTAAAAGTTCAAGCAACTGTGATAAATTGGCGTCTTAAGTAAAGGTTTTGATACTTTGTTGATCGAGTAATCAATATAGATTCATTTAGGACACTGTAATAATTATTAAATAATTATAAATAATTAAAATAAATATTATTCCTAGCTAGATAAACTATAAATATACGAAGTGACATATAAATCCGAACACCCAGTTTAAATTGTTTTATTTTAATAAAAGTTGGTGAATGTATTTATCTTACTGTAAATAACAAGTGAAAAAATTTTCAGCCTTATCAGTTGGATATTCCGGTTTTTATACTGCTTTTTTTTAATTCACTAACGCTCTAAAAATGAATATTTCAGCCGCAGTAAAGAATCAACGTTGGCGGATTTTGGTTCTTGACATCCATTACGATCGGTTACGATGCCTAGAGTACGGAGACCTGTACGATTTCGTGAACTTAGTGAGTTTGATAGGGGCCGTATAGTGGGACTTCGGGAAGCTGGACTTTCTTTTCGGGCAATTGCAGTTAGAGTGTAAAGAAGTGTAGACACTGTGGTTAGGTGTTGTCAGGCATGGCTTCGAGAAGGCCGTACGCAAAGAGCAAGGGGCACTCGACGCCGCCGTAGAACAACAGACCGTGAAGATCGCCGCCTAAGATTATTGGCCTTAAGGGACCATTTCTCCACTACCAGGCCCATTGCAAATGAATGGTTTGCAGAACACGGAAGACCTATTGGCATGCGAAGTGTTTACCGACGAATGAGAAGTTTTGGCTTGTTTTCATACCGGCCACACTGGGTCCTCCCTTTAACTCGAGAACACCGACGTAATCGCCTTGAGTGGTGCAGACAACGGTCACTCTGGGATCAGGAATGGAACAGTATTGTCTTTAGTGATGAGTCTCGATTTTGTTCAGGCATGCACGATGGTCGTGCCAGGGTTAGAAGGCGACGTGGTGAAAGGAGGAATCCACAGTTTTTTGTTAAAAGACATGTTCATCACACTGTTGGAGTTACGGTTTGGGGTGCTATAGCTTATGGTTCCAGGTCGCCTTTAATCTTCATCAGAGGTAATATGAACGCGCAGCGTTATATCCACGAAGTTCTAGAACCCCATCTTTTACCCTATCTTGACACCCTGGCAGATCCAACTTTCCAACAAGATAATGCCCGGCCACATGTTACAAGAGTCACAATAGACTTCTTTCAACATAATGATGTCACATTGTTACCATGGCCTCCAAGATCTCCCGACTTATCCCCAATTGAGCACGTGTGGGATATGATGGGTAGGAGATTGCTCAATTTGCAACGTCCTCCTCAGACTCTAGAAGCACTTCGAGAGGAGTTGGTGGTTGCCTGGAATGAGATACCACAGGAGGACATTGACCACCTGATCAGAAGCATGCCTAGGCGCGTTGGAGAATGCGTAGCACATCAGGGTGCATCCACACATTATTAAAGGTCAAAGGGCTTTAAAGCAGTGCAATCATTTTGAAATTTTTATCATTTACTTATTATGCTTCATTAACTACTTATACAGAATTTTATTAAAATAAAACCATTTAAACTGGGTGTTCGGATTTATATGTCACTTAGTATATATGGTTTGGCAGCATTATCTCAAAACTTGAAAAATTTGAGTTACTACAGTTCTCGTTGGAGCCGTCGATATACTGTATTCCAGCGTCCAAGAAGGGATCTGAAAGACAGTGACAAGACTGTTGCAGAAGACAAAACTGAATCTTGAAATCCACTTTGAAAACAGCCGTTACCGTCTCACAGATTGCGCTGGATCTTCAGCCCCTTTTTTTGGCCTCTCTGATGTTTTTACGGAATACGAATTCCGGTTTTCTGTAGATCTATATAACTTATCATCGTTCTCGTCTAGGTTCAACGACTTGGACTGCAAACAAATAGAAAAGCTCGCTCAGACGCTCCAGGTGATAGTGGCGAAGTACGACAACATCTTCAAATGCAACTTTCCGTACTCCATGGGCTGGCACGGAGCGCCAACTGGAGAGCATTTGAAAGAGAACCAAGACCACTGGACCTTCCATGGCATGTACTATCCTCCGTTGCTGAGGTCGGCTACTGTCAAGAAGTTCATGGTGGGCTATGAGCTCCTCGCTCAGTCTCAGAGAGACCTCAGTGCAGAGAAGGCAGCTGCCGTGATCAGGGACCAGCCGGAGAAAAGGTTCGCTTGATAGTGGAGGACTCTTCAGTGGGTCAAGTGCGACGTTTAGCATTTTCGGGAGATAGAGTATATAAGTTGACAAACAAGAGGCTAGTGTCATTGTTATTTAAAAGTGAATATGAAGTAATGTATTTATGTTATGTGAAAGGAGTGACAAAGGAGATACCTTTCTCTACCATTGCTTCTTCTGCAACAAATAACTGTTTGTCCCTAGAGTTCCATTGTACACTGATTTATTTTTTAAGCTGTGTTTTTTTTTTAAATTAAATGAAATAACGATCACGATTATTTGTTTTAATCTCTACTCCTAAGTTGAGGAGATGGTCAAGGAAGAGATCTTTTGTTCCAGTGTAAGGAGAAAAGGTTAGACCAGAAATACAGGGTGTCCGCAAAGTTGGGGTTTTCCTTTACACGACGTGTAGACCTTGAAAACATAAGCAATTTTTTTAAGTACCATATACACCAATGTCTTAAGGGAACCGAGATAAAGGGCTCTGCAGCATCAAAAATATTTGAATACCGTCCTGTAGGCGCGACATCACCGACTGGTACAAGGTCACTGGCTCAACCCGACGACAGAACTGGGTCGGGGTCAGTGTGTCAGGTCAGTATGCAACCTTCAACCGACGGTTACGGTCACGCCTGTAGAGGTAATCGCGTAGACGAGAATCCCTCAACAAGCACTAGAGACGTGGCTAGAGAAGTGCAAGTATCAAAAACTAAAGTGTGGCAAACGCTGCGTGAAGAGGGGCTGTATCCGTTTCATGTCCAACGTGTACAAGCCCTTCAACCTGACGATTTTCCAGCAAGAGTGCGGTTGTGTGAGTGGTTGTTGCATCAACATGACAACAATCCGGACTTTTTGAAGTGCATATTGGTGACAGACGAATCTACGTTCACGCGTAATGGGGTGAATAACTTTCGCAACACTCATGTTTGGTCAGTAGAAAATCCGCACGCTGTCCGTCGGGCATATTTTCAACAAACATTTTCGGTGAATGTTTGGGCTGGCATGGTGAACGGTATGCTCATTGGACCATTTATTCTCCCAAATCGATTGGACGGGATGCAATACCTAGACTTTTGACGCAACATTTTGCCTTCCTTGTTAGAAGATGTGCCACTAAGTGTAAGACAATCAATGTGATTTCTGCATCTGCTTGGTAGCGCATCAGCTGATTTCATTTTCTGTTGGAGCGGTATGATTTCGGGCAGAGACGTACTTAGCCCTTCTCGTCAACTGGAGAGTGAGTACTTTTTCCTTTATTTTTTTTACTTGGTCGCCCTCGGTTCACTACACATTACCTTTGTTATTTCAAGGGTAGTTGTTTCTGAAAAGGACAACCCCAACTTTGCGGACACCCTGTATATGGTAAGAGGAGAAGACCTTCTGGTCCGATAAACTGTCAGTATTCAGCCTCTCATACGAAAAAGAATGCTCGGTATTTCTTGTAGCATAGTGGTACGAGAATAAAAAAAAAACCTGGCCAAAGAACTCGCGTTTGACTCCTGCTAATGCAAAGAAGTGTACAATCAGATATCAAAAATACGTTTGAAAATAATCAGCTGGATTGAGATATATGTAAAGGTTGTCCCATAATTAACGCAAGATTGGAATTTGCCGCCGTGTTTGCAGTAAATTGTAGACAGCCCTGAAAAACGAAGAATTTGAAAGCTGAGCAGCGTTGCCAGACGTACGACAATTATCGTTTCTGTAAGATAATTTCAGGTATTGTTCGATCTATACTAAGTGACATATAAATCCGAACACCCAGTTTAAATGGTTTTATTTTAATAAACGTTGGTGAATGTATTTATCTTACTCTAAGTAACAAGTGAAAAAATTTTCAGCCTTATCAGTTGGACATTCCGGTTTTTATACTGCTTTTTTTTAATTCACTAACGCTCTAAAAATGGATATTTCAGCCGCAGTAAAGAATCAACGTTGGCAGATTTTGGTTCTTGACATTCTTTACGATCGGTTACGATGCCTAGAGTACAGAGACCTGTACGATTTCGTCAACTTAGTGAGTTTGATAGGGGCCGTATAGTGGGACATCGGGATGCTGGACCTTCTTTTCGGGCAATTGCAGTTAGAGTGCAAAGAAGTGTAGACACTGTGGTTAGGTGTTGTCAGGCATGGCTTTGAGAAGGGCGTACGCAAAGAGCAAGGGGCACTGGACGCCGCAGTAGAACAACAGACCGTGAATATCGCCGCCTAAGATTATTGGCCTTAAGGGACCGTTTCTCCACTACCAGGTCCATTACAAATGAATGGTTTGCAGAAAACGGAAGACCTATTGGCATGCGAAGTGTTTACCGACGAATGAGAAGTTTTGGCTTGTTTTCATACCGGCCACACTGGGTCCTCCCTTTAACTCGAGAACACCGACGTAATCGCCTTGAGTGGTACAGACAACGGTCACTCTGGGATCAGGAATGGAACAGTATTGTCTTTAGTGACGAGTCTCGATTTTGTTTAGGCATGCACGATGGTCGTGCCAGGGTTAGAAGGCGACGTGGTGAAAGGAGGAATCAACAGTTTTTTGTTGAAAGACATGTTCATCACACTGTTGGAGTTATGGTTTGGGGTGCTATAGCTTATGGTTCCAGGTCACCTTTAATCTTCATCAGAGGTCACATGAACGCGCAACGTTATATCCACGAAGTTCTAGAACCCCATCTTTTACCCTATCTTGACACCCTGACAGATCCAACTTTCCAACAAGATAATGCCCGACCACATGTTGCAAGAGTCACGACAGACTTCTTTCAACATAATGATGTCACATTGTTACCATGGCCAGACTCTAGAAGCACTTCGAGAGGAGTTGGTGGTTGCCTGGAATGAGATACTACAGAAGGACATTGACCACCTGATCAGAAGCATGCCTAGGCGCGTTGGAGAATGCGTAGCACATCAGGGTGCATCCACACATTATTAAAGGTCAAAGGGCTTTAAAGCAGTGCAATCATTTTGAAATTTTTATCATTTACTTATTATGCTTCATTAAGTACTTATACAAAATTTTATTAAAATAAAACCATTTAAACTGGGTGTTCGGATTTATATGTCACTTAGTATATGTACGATACTATGTGTAGGATAATAGCTGAATGTACGATAGTTTTGCGAATGAGCCTTTTTACTCACAGATGTTGAATCAATCTAACAACTACGTTCAATTAACACCAGCAAGCAGCTGTCAGTGTTGCCGCTTGGTAGACAAGCGCGCGTACTCTACTCGGTATAATGGGTTGCCTACCATTACGCGGACTATCTCGGCAAATATCAACGAAAAAAATTGTCGTCAATCTCTATGTATTGACATGACGCGCATATTTTTATTTACCCAAGTGCATTAGACGGAATAAATGCCACGTCTCCCGTTTTTATGACTTTTTATGACGTGTTGTTATTATTAAACAATATTTCAAAAATAATGAAAGTTCAGCGTCCACAGTTCAAAAATTTTATACAAAATATGGCCGGAATAGTGTTTTAACCACGTCAACTGTGGGTAGATTAATTGAAAAATTCAGAGAGACTGGATCAGTTGGAGACGCTAAAGAGTGTTAGTGAAAACCCAGGCACGTCAATTCCGCGTCGTAGACAAGAACTGCAAACTTCAAGAAGCTCTTTACAGCATATACTCGCAAAAGATCTGTGTCGCCATGCTTGCAAAATTCAATCAACACATCAACTGCAGCCTAGTTAATGACCATGAATAGCGAAAGAAGTTCGTGGAATGGGTTATTGAACGTCAACAAGTGGATGCTGATTTTTCGAGCAAAATAATCCTAAGCGATGAATCACAGATTCACCTCGATGGCTTTGTTAATCGCCAAAATTGCCGTTATTTGAGGTTCGGAGAACTCCCGTGTGATTGTCGAAAAACAAATTTACCCACAACGTGTACTCGGTAAGACTTATTCATGTACCTAATGCTAAGATGCGATCCAATTCAAAATACTTTTACTTAAACGTAGCTAGAACCAATGCGTTTTTACATAACAGTAGGTTAAGTAAATTGATTCCTGCCTCTCTATCCGTTAAATGGTATAATAAACCGTTCGGATAGTGTATATTAGTAAATAAAATAAATCATTGGACCATAATGTGTTGAAAATGGGGCTGGTGAAGCAGTAACTGTTATTACTGGTGATCGATATCGCGACATGATACGAGAGATGTCTTTTAAGTTTTGCATATGGAAATAAAACAACAATCCAGACATTTTTTTGCAAATAACATATCCGCTGTATTGGATGCGACATTTCGATTTTTGACAAATGGATATCAAGCGGCAATCACGAAAACATATAAAAGAATTGTTTTGGTGAAATTTAGACAATCTTCCTAGCTTTGGCCATGTTTTATTACTGTGCCATGTGCTTATTTGTTGGTGCTACTGCATTGTAGAAGGTTTGAGGTTATTTAGAAACACTTTGACAAAAAAGCAATTTCTTGCTGGGTTCTCCAATTAACTTTTCCAGCGCCTAAGCAACTCGAAAAGATCTGACGGCATATTTTACAGGCACTAATCGAATCATTCATGCCAATTTAACTTTTATGAGAAGCAAGAAATCGATATTACAAACGGCTGAAACCACCAAACTGTGTAAAAGCTGGATTACTGGAAAATCTGAAACGACGCTTCGCCTTGAAATCGAGTTAATCTGGTGCAATTATGGATATAAATAAGAATTGTGGCCGTTGTAGCTAAGTTAAGCGTGGTTACATTTTGGAGCGATTAGTGACATCAACATTGAGATATTTTGAATAAAAAATTGAACATTTTGGGAAATCTAACAACGTTTGGCCGCTTAGTGAAGCCATATAGGGTGTCCGCAAAGTTGGGGTTTTCCTTTACACGACGTGTAGATCTTGAAAACATAAGCAATTTTTCTTAGTACCATATACACCAATGACTTAAGGGAACCGAGATAAAGGGCTCTGCAACATCAAAAATATCTGAATACCGTCCTGTAGCCGCGACATCCCCGACTGGTACTAGGACAGTAGCTCAACCCGACGACAGAACTGGGTCGGGGTCAGTGTGTCAGGTCAGTATGCAACCTTCAACCGACGGTTACGGTCACGCGTCTAGAGGTAATCGCGTAGACGAGAATCCCTCAACAAGCACTAGAGACGTGGCTAGAGAAGTGCAAGTATCAAAAACTAAAGTGTGGCAAACGCTGCGTGAAGAGGGGCTGTATCCGTTTCACGTCCAACGGACTTTTTGAAGTGCATATTGGTGACAGACGAATCTACGTTCACGCGTAATGGGGTGAATAACTTCCGCAACACTCATGTTTGGTCAGTAGAAAATCCGCACGCTGTCCGTCGGGCACATTTTCAACAAACATTTTCGGTGAATGTTTGGGCTGGCATGGTGAACGGTATGCTCATTGGACCATTTATTCTCCCAAATCGATTGGACGGGATGCAATACCTAGACTTTTTACGCAACATTTTGCCTTCATTGTTTGCCTGCGTCTGCTCGGTAGCGCATCAGCTGATTTCATTTTCTGTTGGAGCGGTATGATTTCGGGCAGAGACGTACTTAGCCCTTCTCGTCAACTGGAGAGTGAGTACTTTTTCCTTTATTTTTTTTTACTTGGTCGCCCTCGTTTCACTACACATCACCTTTGTTATTTCAAGGTTTCTGAAAAGGAAAACCCCAACTTTGCGGACACCCTGTATATGCTTGAAATACTGTTTACTGACCACCTCGGTGACCTTGTGGTTCAAATATCCGTTATTTATTTGTCTTTATAGTCTATAGTGCTACAGAAGCCACCTTATTTCAGACATATGCTCTACGGAATCACGAGTATCAATTAATAAGAGATGGTAAAAGTACGCGGAAAATTTAAAATATAGACGCTGTTGGCGTGGCGTCACGATATTGGCAAGTGAGCTGCCTATCCTTTGTCGCTCTCATTGATTGACAACCTATCAGTTTGATCAGTTCCCAAGCACTGTTTGACGCGGAATCGGACACTAACTAAACTTTGAAAGATTTATAAGTTCAGACAAGTTTGAAAATTACCATAATTTTTATAACATTGAAGCCTATGATAACCACTGTTGCAGCTGCTGTCAAATGTAAGTGCTAAGCTCCACTTCTTATAAATTTTGAAAAATTGTGAAAGCGCTGGGGATATTAAACATTTCGAAAATTTGGCGATTTCTGCAAATATGAAAACTGAAAAAGTTGAAGTTTTGTTTTGTCAAGAAAGTAGAGTATACCGTGAAAATCGTTGGATTTTGTAAGCACCGACAAGTAATTTGCACACTTCCATCCTTAGACCGTCCTAACCACATTTTTCAATTTTTTTTTTATACCAAAGCAGCCGCGCAGGCAGAAGCCTAAATACCGAGACTGCTGCTGTGATGATCTAAGAGAAATCTTGTTAATACGATTTTTGAACTGCCTAAGGTAAGTAGAACTGGAGAAAGCTTCCTTTTGTAGATTCTTCCATAATCTCGATACCCTATGGACAAAGGAGCGGTCGTATCGGATAGTTCTGGATGTACGAAGTTCAACACGATTATGACGGGCAGCCAAAGTCAGGCATTATCTATTCGCCCAAGTTAGAACGTCATGTGTCCCTATCATTATTACTTGAATATACTGTCATATGTTCAAATAGTACGAGCTTCCAAACATACAGTTCGAGTCACATAACTTTTAATGCACGTCATAGGCTTCAAATCACCAGTGATGCCATACATCTTCAAAATTGGTATGTTGTACGAATTCTAAGCATTCGTCATCTTTCTCATTCTCTCTGCATAGCACGTAAGTTGAGAGTGACGGAAAAATTACGTATTGAGGTAAGTCGGAGATAAGTCGATATTGAAATACTGCGGAACACATTACAGAAGATAGGCTTTGACAATATGAACTGTCATGTCAAATGGGAAACATCTTGTGGTATCCTAATATCATGTTTCCTGTATTGTGGTATTTTTAACCTCATAGTTGAACGTCAAAATGACGATATGATATTATTTACGACATGCCGTAAACTTGCGAATTCGACAAAATAAGCCTGTGCATAAGCGGCAACCATGTAGACATATTTGTAGTCGGTGAGACATGCTAATATACCTTCTTCATTTTCTAGCACATTAAATTTATATGACTTGCCATTTTACGTAAGTCGACCACCATTCGTGGATTTTTGTGACGTGAATAAAAAGATAAGTGATTTACACTATACATAGAACGTCCTATCTATAAATTGCAAATCTAAATAAACCGGTAAATAGGACGTTTTAACTAAGGGGGCAGTACGAGCTTTATATTGCTCTAAACTTCGATCACAACTTGAGCAGTTATGACAAATTTTCCCACAACAACAAATGCCTAAATTGATTTTTGTATCAATTTGAAATTACTGTGTCAAGGTAACCATCTAATTGACGCATTTCCTATTTGCTCTTTCCCCTTCCTTCCCTTATTTGTTCTTTCGAATAGGTTTCTTCCTCACTTAATACAAGAAACACTTGAGAGAAACAAACGACTTACTTGTACCAGCCAATGCCAACTGCAATCAGACCAACAGTTGCAGCAGCACTGATTCCAGCAACCACTGCTATAATGTAAACACCTGCTGAATCCACTTCTGAGATTTCTGGTTTCACAGCCACCTACAAATAAGGTTAAAGAATATAAAACGCCATATTTTTGCTTGATATAACGCTTTAATGTATACAAGGTGCTTGAAGGATTTAGGCTCGATTTTACTACTGATTGGCGGAAATCAGAATTTGCGCCTTTGATACAAATTGAACCAGTATGAAGGCATATTTTAAGTAATGGATTTTGTCGATTTCGGAAAATTATACGTTTTATGTAAGATGGTCTCCTAATTTTCACACTAAATTGAGAAATATTTAATATACAGGGTTTGTCCGGAAAGTAATAGGACTGAGTCGATTTAAAAAACTTATTGAGCCAATCGTTACAATTCTTTGAAAACTCTAAAAATAGGCTCCTTCTGCGTCGATGGAGCGCTGCCAGCGCGATTTCCAAGCATTGAAGGCGTTATGGAAGGCATTCTCCGAAATAGCCTTGAGAGCCGCGGTGCGTGATGCTTGGATCCCCTCTGTCGTCTCAAAATGTTTGCCTTTCATCGGCCTTTTTAGGCGAGGAAACAAAAAAAAGTCCGGGGGGGGCACACCTGGGCTGTAGGGCGGATGCGGAAGCGTTGGGATGCCGGCCTTGGTCAGGTAGTTGTTCACAAGAAAGGCGGTGTGAGCCGGGGCGTTGTCGTGGTGCAACTTCCAGTCGGCTGCGATGTCTTGTCGGACCCGACTGACCCTTCCTTTGAGTCTCCTGAGCAATTCCACGTAAAACTTGGCGTTGACGGTTTGTCCAGGAGTAACAAATTCATGGTAGACGATGCCTTTAATGTCAAAAAAGACAATGAGCATCGTTTTCACTTTGGATTTGCTCATTCTTCCCTTTTTTGGGCGAGGAGACGCCGTCGTGTGCCACTCGGAAGATTGTCCCTTTGTCTCAGGATCATACTCAAAGATCCACGACTCGTCACCTGTGATTACGTTATTCAAAAATTGGGGGTCACTTTCACACATGTTCAAATTTTCTTGGCACACTTCCACTTACCGCAATTTCTGGTCGTCAGTGAGCACTTTTGGGACCATCTTCGCGTAGACCTTGCGCATGTTCAAATGCTGTGTCACAATGTCATGAACCACAAATTTTGGTAAATTTAACATCTGCGCAATTAAACGAATACTTAGTCGACGGTCTGAGTTCAAAACTTTGCGCACATTATCGGTGTTTGTCGAAGTCGAAGGTCTTCCAGGACGGTCTTCATCAGCGACCTCTTCCCGACCCTCCAAAAAGGCCTGGTGCCACCGAAACACACCACTTCTTGCTGAAGCGACACCTGGGTAAGCCTGCTTGATCATATCAAACGTCTCTGTCGCAGATTTATCGAGTTTCACACAGAATTTAATCGCGTACCTCTGCTCTAACGAATGCTGCATTTTCTGCTTGCACCACTCACAGAAACACGTCGCGCGAAAATGCCTGTCCTGACTCTCCAAGTGCTCGGAGACAACTGACCAGCCGCTCATTCGTTACCTAGGAACGCCCTCTACCGAATCCAGTCGGTGCGCGTACGCTCCGAAGTACAGTCATGGCGGAAAAAAATGAGTCCTATTACTTTCCGGACAAACCCTGTATCACATCGTCGCCTTTCTCACGAAGTGTTCTAACTGACAAAATACCAAAAATTGAGATAATCCGCATATACACCTTATTCCATGCTGGTTAATCTGACGAAGAAGCATAACTATATATCTATTAGTGTGGGCAACACACCCTTAGCCCACGGGTGTCTTATCTGCAAAGGTAAATTTATGATTCCCACGAAGAGACCTAAATGAAGATAAGTCCCTTAGTGTCCAATAATCCTTGTTAGTATACGCTCCTCGGTGGTGGAATCATGGCCAAAGTGAGCTGGAGATCTTTTTGAACCCTCATAACTCTATCCGGTTTTTTGATTCGCCAGAAAACGTCAATCTTATTTAGTAATTCCCAATGAATTTTTTGACTTCAAGAAACTTTCAAAAGATTTAAGAATATTGTCCACACGCCAAGCTGAGGAGGGGCAAAATATTAAACGGAGTTTATTGTAATAAAAGACACGCCCACCAAAATATTTTTTAAGTCTAGCGACCACGATACTAGTTATGACAGTATTGAGTTAAAAAGGCTGATGAGAAATAGTAATAATATAAATGATATTGAACTAGAACAACTTAAAAATAACAAAAAAGAAGTACTCCGACTTAATTTCGTTATGTAAAATCCGAAAAACGTCAGTTAGTTGTACGCTTACCAGAATTCCAAAACTTTTACAAAATTTGGCCCATGAAACGGAATGAATTATTGATAATTTTGCCTTTTTTTGTATATCACAACACATCAACATTTGCTGGTAATATGTCAAAATATAATATTTAAGTCAGTTGCTTTTCTTTTAGTTTTTATTTCAATAAAAATTGGTTTGACGTTTCGAGTTGTTTTCTTCATCTAATCACGTAATATTTCTGTCATAATCTACATCACTTATCGGCATGGACATTGAGGAAAATATTTTAGGGGGTAGCCAAACTTCAAAAGTCGATCTGAACTTTTTTACATAAACTTTGCTGTCAGCAGACCAACGATTACTTAAAATATTTAACAATCAACAAATTTTCTGAGATAATCGCCCCCTTGGCTGGAAATATGATTCTTTGCTTATAAGTAAATGAAACAAATTCTGTAAATCTTAAAAAATTATAATAACAAGAACTTCAATGAAAATATATTTTAGCTCTGTCTGACAAAAATCTTCTGAAAATGCTCACGAAGTGACCTACGTGCGTTTTCCATTTTTTCCCAAAATAGCTTGATAAGCTACCGCAAATATTGAAACGGCATATGATTCACAATGAATATAGGCTAATACACGTGAATTTTCAATTCGGAAATATCTAAACTTTACATACAGTGCTCAATCAACAACACGCTGGAAAATTCACTAACCGTTGGTTAGGACACTTCGTGAGAAATCCGACATGATCCAGCTAGAAAAATCTATTTTCCATTTGTGTCCGGACACAAAAGTTGACGCAAATTCCAGCAATAAAAAAGGATTTGTGGCCTACTCGAAACATGGATCAAACCTGCTATGAGAAAATGACATTATGCGATTACTGAAATGTCACTACTTGGGTAATAAGAAAATAAATTCTTGCTATTTTACTGCAAAACTTCATTGAGTTTATAGACATTTTTAGATATGTGGTTTTATTTGGCCAGAAAGACAGTTGTATCAAGTTTCATGAAAACTCCAAGAAACGTCAACAGATTTGTTAAGGAGACAACTTTTTAACCAAAAACTACTACTCCCTTTCAACCTCGGCCCCCCATGGTCATTCCCTTAAAAATGTTAAGCCTCAAGGGGTATCAAGTAATAGCTTGTTTGAAAGGTCTCTCGAAGTCCTTTATTTTAACGTGTGATTTTTTAAAATAAGTCGATTTGTTTTCGAGATAGAAACCAAATACACACAAAAGTATCACTTTTCACTCCATTAAGTGTTCAAAATGTTGTCCGTTAGGGTTTGCCTAATCTACAACTCGTTTATAATTTAAAACGGAAACTACCAACATAAACAGCAATTCGGAAGATTAGACGTGGTGACAACCAAATAACAACCCGAATTTCTCTGCATTCTTTTCATCAAGATATCCTGGGCGAGCTGTATTTATTGTAATACATGTTTAGTTATTTGTTGCTAAGGGAAAGAAATAATTTAATGTCAGTTTCCTTTGAGACAATCTTGGGAAAGTGAAAATTAACTTATTGCTTCAGATTTTACTTCTAGAATGGTTTAAACACTAGCCGAAAGAGTGGAAATAATTATGATTTATGGTGCCAAAATCTATGTGTTTTGCAAACTGCCTTCACGTTTAAAGCCAGACATCCGGAGAAGATAACCTCGCATTGGTATGTTTTGATCCTTGTTACTAAATTTACTTAAACTGATGTGTTCAAATAAAAAACGTGATAATCGGAAAGTTTTCTTGGATCATTTTGGAATAAATCCTAATACTCAACTCCATAAATTTGATCAATTGCAAGTGTTAACGAAGATGATTTCAATAGGCGAGTTGAGTTTTGTGAGCAAATGACTACACCGATTAATATGGATGGATTTGTTAATAAGCTGCAGGTATTGGAGCAATGAAAATCCTCATGCATTTGTAGAAGGGCATATCCAGTACCCTCAAAAGATTAATGTATGGGTAGGCATTTTAGGAAACAAAGTGATTGGGTCATTGTTTATTAATGGAAATTGGAATGGAGACATTTATTTGGATATTCTGGAAAATAAAGTCAATCCACTTATTACTGAAACTGTTAAAAACGAAATCGGAGAGGATGGAAACTTTATATACTAAGTGACATATAAATCCGAACACCCAGTTTAAATGGTTTTATTTTAATAAAATTTTGTATAAGTACTTAATGAAGCATAATAAGTAACTGATAAAAATTTCAAAATGACTGCACTGCTTTAAAGCCCTTTGACCTTTAATAATGTGTGGATGCACCCTGATGTACTACGCATTCTCCAACGCGCCTAGGCATGCTTCTGATCAGGTGGTTAATGTCCTCCTGTGGTATCTCATTCCAGGCAACCACCAACACCTCTCGAAGTGCTTCTAGAGTCTGAGGAAGACGTTGCAAATTGAGCAATCTCCTACCCATCATATCCCACACGTGCTCAATTGGGGATAAGTCGGGAGATCTTGGTGGCCATGGTAACAATGTGACATCATTATGTTGAAAGAAGTCTATTGTGACTCTTGAAACATGTGGTCGGGCATTATCTTGTTGGAAAGTTGGATCTGCCAGGGTGTCAAGATAGGGTAAAAGATGGGCTTCTAGAACTTCGTGGATATAACGCTGCGCGTTCATGTTACCTCTGATGAAGATTAAAGGTGACCTGGAACCATAAGCTATAGCACCCCAAACCATAACTCCAACAGTGTGATGAACATGACTTTCAACAAAAAACTGTGGATTCCTCCTTTCACCACGTCGCCTTCTAACCCTGGCACGACCATCGTGCATGCCTAAACAAAAACGAGACTCGTCACTAAAGACAATACTGTTCCATTCCTGATCCCAGAGTGACCGTTTTCTGCACCACTCAAGGCGATTACGTCGGTGTTCTCGAGTTAAAGGGAGGACCCAGTGTGGCCGGTAAACACTTCGCATGCCAATAGGTCTTCCGTGTTCTGCAAACCATTCATTTGCAATGGACCTGGTAGTGGAGAAACGGTCTCTTAAGGCCAATAATCTTAGGCGGCGATCTTCACGGTCTGTTGTTCTACGGCGGCGTCCAGTGCCCCTTGCTCTTTGCGTACGGCCTTCTCGAAGCCATGCCTGACAACACCTAACCACAGTGGTTACACTTCTTTGCACTCTAACTGCAATTGCCCGAAAAGAAAGTCCAGCTTCCCGAAGTCCCACTATACGGCCCCTATCAAACTCACTAAGTTGACGAAATCGTACAGGTCTCCGTACTCTAGGCATCGTAACCGATCGTAAAGGATGTCAAGAACCATAATCCGCCAAAGTTGATTCTTTACTGCGGCTGAAATATTCATTTTTAGAGCGTTAGTGAATTAAAAAAAGCAGTATAAAAACCGGAATGTCCAACTGATAAGGCTGAAAATTTATTCACTTGTTATTTACAGTAAGATAAGTACATTCATCAACTTTTATTAAAATGAAACCATTTAAACTGGGTGTTCGGATTTATATGTCACTTAGTATACTTGAAGAGGCTGAAATATATTCCCAGCAAGACGGCGCTCCTCCTCACTATGTTCTTCCGGTTCGGCAATGGCTAGACGACGAGTTTCCAGGTAAATGGATAGGGCGAAGAAGGCCTATAGAATGGCCTGCTAGATCTCCCGATTTAACGCCATTAGACTTTTTTCTATGAGGCCATTTGAAATCTATAGTGTTTACTCCCCAACCAAAAGTTTGGATGAACTTGGTCAGCGCATCAGGATATCGCACAGGTTTTTGAATATGTCCGTCAGGAATTTGAACATTTCCTATATCATTGTTTGACCAATAACGGGCAACATTTTGAACACTTATTGAAATAAAAAGTGATATTTTCATGTGTTTTTGTTTTCTATCAGACCAAATTAGGATAAATAAGGATTTTTGTAATTTTCTTGAAAACTACTCGACCGATTTAAAAAAATCAAACGACAAAATGGAGGACTTCGAGAGACCTTTCAAACAACCCATTACTCGATACCTCTGATACTTGAAATTTTTTAGGGGATGACCCTGGAGAGCAGAGGATGGAAGGGTTGAAAGTAGTTTTTGGTTAGAAAGTGGTCTCCCTTGACAAATCTTTTGACGGATCTTGGCGTTTTTTCTTTTAATCAGTGGTTCTCGATAAATCTGTGGTGGGAACTTTCCACCCTGTATGTTCTAACTATTGAGGTTATCGAGTTCTACTAAACAATGTGCAGAATGAGACTTTATTTGATAGAAAAACAACATATATACTCAATACCATTTTACTTTCAAAAGGTATAATTAGAAAGGGGACTAGCACTGTTCCATGCGAGTTGATCAGTATTCCTCGTTTACATTAGCGATAACTGGTCTATAAATATGTATGCAGAAAACTTCGTATCGTGCCTTGTAAGAAATTTGTTCTATGTCGATTGAAGGTGATAAATTGAATGTCGTGCAACGTGCTAGAGCTTTTCATACACGTGTATGAAGAATTTTCTATCGACGATTTATATGTTTACATTTTCTGAGGCACTAGGGTCTGATTAAGTTAAATAGCGTGGTATTTTCATTAAGTACTTGAAAATAAAATTGCTTGAGACCTTAATGCTTGACATGAATTGATTTCTGATTGTTCTACTTGACTTGAGGTCAAGCATTTTCAAACTGCTCGATACTTCATGGCAAATTATATTTTTGCTCTACTGAAGGTCTTTATTTGAACAACCGATAAGCCGCATTTTGTGTTTTAATGCAAATAATCTCTTGAAATTCGGTAGACTCAAGGACAACATTGGTAGGAAGAACAAATCAGGGCCGGTGTAAGATCAAGGGCCTTTTGGCAACGCAGCTCCATTCATGAAAAGTATATTTTGGTACACCGCTCGCACAAAATACAGGTATACAGATTTTCCAGGTATATATATACAGGGTGGCGCATCGAAAACGAAACAGACGCATTAACTGGCAGCTCAGTTTTTTTTTGGAAAAACACTCAGACCCGTCGATTTTGGTTTCGAGTGGGACACAAGTTTGGCAAAAAATCACGTTAGCACGTTCAGCCCCCTAAGCGGGGGTGACACCACCCCCAAAATCTTAAATGGAAAGAGGGGTCGAGTGATACCATATTTTAAAGGTCTTTCAATTCCCTTTATAATGATATAAAATTAATGCACTTCAGTTCAGAAGTTTTGAAGATTTATTGATTTAAAGCTTAAATAAAACGAATACATAATCATTAGTGGAGATCAATACATTTGGCAGCAAAGTAATTTAAAAATGAAGAATGAACTGACCCGTTAGGCAAGTAAATGTTGAAAATGGCCACCATGACTCTCCATGCAATAATAAAGATTTTGCTCAAAACGTTGCCGCGCATTTTGCAATATTTGAGGAGAAATTTGAAGGCGCTCATTCACAATTCTTTGTCGCAGATCTTCTATTGATGTTGGCTGAGTAGCATAGATTTTGCTTTTTAAATGACCCCACATAAAGAAATCCAAAGGTGATAAATCTGGCGATCTTGGGGGCCATTCAATGGCACCTCTTCTACCAATCCATCGATCTGGAAACGTCTGATCTAAATATTGTAGAACACGTAATGCGTAATGTGGTGGGGCACCATCCTGTTGGAACATCAACCTATTCGCAATGTATCGCCGATCATTCTGATTTTCAATTATGGCTGTTAATGCAGGATCTATGGCGTCTTCCAGTAATTCCAAATACATTTCACCGGTCAAATTTCCAGGTAAGGAAAAGGACGCCAAAAATACCAGCCCAAACATTTAATTTTTGTGGCTACTGTGTATGAACCTCATGATAAATTCTGGGATTAGAATCGGACCAATATCGGCAGTTATGACGATTTACTACGCCATTTAAGAAAAAGGAACATTCGTCGGAATAGCAAGTGTTGAATAGAAAATGTTCGTCGTTTATAATTCGTTCACTCATATCTTCACAAAATTGTAATCGCCGATCAAAGTTCTTGTACCAGGTGAATTTTATACGGATAAAAACTATGGGCCTTTAGAATCCGTTGGACAGTACGTCGAATAATACCACACACAGTCTCCAATTTGCGGGTACTTAACGTAGGATCTACATAAACTTGCCCTAAAACCCCCACTTCTATTGCTTCGTTACTTATGGGATTTTCAATGTTGCGTTTTTTATTGGCGACTGACCCAGTTTCCCGAAATTTATCTACAAGTTCTAGGACATATTTTCGAAGCACGTTACTGTTCTTATGTCGCTCATTAAATATTTCTGTTGTTCTATTAGCGCACTGACTATTTCCGCAAAATCGACGGGTCTGAGCGTTTAAAAAAAAACTGAGCTTCCAGTAAAGGCGTCTGTTTCGTTTTCGATGCGCCACCCTGTATATATATATATGAAGACAAATTTAAAAAAAACTCAACAAATCGTTTTGCATGTTTTTCATGTGCCTAAACTCGTGGTAAGCGAATGAAAAACTAAGTTACAATTTTTATGTATCAGCTGATGAAGAATTTTTTTCTACTATCGTTCTATTATTTGATATACGGTGAACAAATTATAATGCTCAATACGCATTGTTCTCTCAGAAGTTTGTGACAAATAAAGTATTTCCGTTGTGCATTTATAATCTACTCGAACTTATATTACAAATACTATCAATAATATCCAGACTACTTGAGCTTTCAAGTACTTATCAGACGTAAACACTTTTTGACTTGATATTAGATTGCTAGATAAGCAGCTTGAAAATCAAGACAAGTAGCGAATCCCTAGGTCTGATCCAGCCTTCACAGATTATGAAATAGTAAACTTCTAAGGATATACTAGAATAGTTAAGTCAGCTATATAATTTCCAAGAAAGGTTTCATAACTAAGAGGCCACTTTGACGTTGTCTTTTCCAATTTTCACTTTGATACTCTTCGCTTTTGGCGCGCATGTCGTTTTATTGAGTCCAAAAATAATTTTTTAGGCAAAATTGCTTTTCAAACTTCCTACGATGACAACGGGTACACGAGAAATTAAACCACAGCAGATAATTACCACTTCATGATTCTCCATCCACGTTTCAAAGTCCCCCTGGTTACTTCGGAACTGACTGACGTCATTTTCTTCTGGAAGCTTCAGTCCGCTCCTTTGTATCACTTTCAGTTGCGGAGGAATTTCACTGGCTGCGACTGTCTTTATTTTGTTCACATCTGCCGCCTTATCTGAGTGTAAAGCAAAGAATATATGAGAATAAATGGTTTAAACTGCTACTAGAAAAAAATTAGGCTAGTAGCTGGATCTCAGTTTGAAAGTAATTTTTCTAGCTTAATTTCGGGAGACAAGTATTCATTCATAAGTAAACGAAATGTATTTTGTAATGTTGTCGGACAAATTGGCACCGTAAGTCCATGTTTTGCTAAGTGAAGAGAAATGCAGGTATTGCGATATTTTGACAACATCCGTGGTCTGTAAATTAAGTGATAATGGCAACATAGCGTTGGATCTGGCAACACTGGAGGCGCCGGGAAAATGTGGTTGACAGAATCCAGGATATTGTGCGTTCAGATGGCCTGTTGACAGTCAAAAATATTCCTGTAGCTCCTCAGCCTCCTTATTCGCCTGAATTGGGTCCTTGTGACATTTTTCTCTTCCCCAAGTTGAAAAGTCACCTCAAGGGAACTCATTTTGGGACAGTCGAATACATTTAAACGGCTTAAAGCTATTTTGAGAATGACAATATAAAATTTTAATTATATTTGTATAAAAAAATTAAAAAAAGGATCAGTCTCATCACCTAATTTACAGACCTCGTAAACCTTTAATATAAGATATACTAACACTGTGAAGTGTAACGATATTGAGACAAGACGCTCTAAATCGTTCATCCAAACAGTCATCTGATATATTATTTATTACAAATAAGAAATTGAGAAAGAAAATAGAGTTCAAGAATACTCAGTATGTATGAGAAACTCACGTCTTCATACAAAATTACGAGTATAATGGTATGCAGACTATTATATGCTTTATTGTTTATAAAAACACGTGGCAGGTGTACTATACTACGAGCCCCTTCCCACTTCAGTTGGCCCACTTCAACATTTGTACCAAAATATGCCTTTATAAACTAAACATGACGAAACTATTTACTTCTAAAACAATTTATTTTCTAAAAAACATTTTAGATACACTCTAGTCGTAAAAAATACATATTTGAAATCACTTAGACCTATAACTAATAGAACATCTGAACAAATAAACATGTGCGAATAAATGCGCGAAGTTAACAAAGCAACAATTGAAAGATTACCATTGGGTAACAGCACCTCAATTTTTTATCTCGGCTGAAATTCTTTGGGGCATAGTGTTAACCAAGTTTTGGCAAACATTTGGTGTAAAACAATCCCATATATCTTGAAGCTTTTGTCCCAGTTCGGTGATTGTACGAGCAGGAAGTTGTCGTAGAACATTTTTCATCTCGTGCCACAAAGTTTCAATAGGTGACAGATCTGGACTGCTAGAAACCCATTTCAAAAGTGGTACATTATTTTCTTCTATCCATTTTATAGCCTTGTTTGAGGTATGGCATGCTGCACCATCTTGCTGAAACACAAAATCTTGGCTCCGGTCAAACATTCTTCCATCTCTGGTAAAAGCGATTATTCTAAAATTGCCAAATATTTGTTTGTATCCACATTTCAATCAATAAAATGAAGTTTTCCTAATCCTTTTGATGACATACTGCCCCAGACCATAATGGATGCTGGAAATTTCACTTTTCTCTTCAGACAGACAACATGTAATGCTTCATTTTTTTGCGACTGTCACCAACACAAACTTCGAATCGGGCCTCATCACTCCATTGTATTGCACACCATTGTTGAGGTGTCCATTGTCTATGTTCTTTAGCCCATCTAAGCCGATTTTTCTTTTGCAGTGGAGTTAATAGTGATTTTTCTTTGGTCTATAAACAAGTTGTGCAACTTTAGGGTTTTTACTTCACTTTTTTTTATAAGAAAACTTACCTTGCAAGTGCTAAATCCCAGTTTGTAGGTGTCTCTATGAGTTGTGGACCTCGAAATTGCGTTATATCTTCTAACAATATTTCTCACACTGTACCGCGATAAGTCTAACAAAGTTGCAATTTCTGAGTTTGATTTCCCAGAATTAAAAAAATTAATTATCAGTAACCGAATTTTCTCACTAATAACCTTTCCTCTACCCATTTTGAAAACCTTAACTACCCAAAACTATTTTAGACGTATTCTGACAGCTGTGATTAATAAAAACAATTGTCATGGCTTTTATTTTTCACAGCCACCTATGCGTTATAGACTTATTTTGCATTGAAATGAAAATAGGTTGATATGCCGTAATTGCAACATGTGTTATTTTTATGCTGCAAATTTGATTAGTGATAAAGTTGGTGTTTTCTACTATATATTATCAAAATATTCATTGTTAATATTTTAAACCTATCACCCCCTGCTACATTTTTATTATTTGTGTTTAATAAGAAAAAAACTAAGATTTCAATAGTTGGGCCAACTGAAGTGGGAAGGGGCTCGTAAGTACGTTTTTAATATATTTTCATTTTGCACTTTCATAGCATTCCAAAGGGCTGTCCTTACTAAATAACCAATGAAAAATACTTATCAAGATTTGGACTTGGAAAAAATAATTCCGTAGAGATACTCGAAGTTTACTGAGCGAACTTCAATATGCAATTTTAGATTCTCAAAAATATTTTATGTCGCTTCTAATCTGAGAAGTGGCCGTCATTGGGCGCAATGCTTGATCGCCTAGGTCAATAAGAAAAAAGCAAAAACATTCAGGTAAATAATATCGTCATCATAAATTGTATCTTACCAATTTCATTGGGGTCAGTTTGACAACTGCATTTTACCAGTATATTAGGAAATATCTTTGGAAGATTGAGAAATAATCCAATTTTAACTCTAACAAAATCATCGAGATCGACGAATATTTTGTAGAAAACGTAAGTTTCTCAACACGAATTTTCATAAATACACACTATACCTTCTGTGGTCGGCGCATCTACCTTTTTATAGAACAACGGATTGGGAGGAGCGTACGCGAATTCTGTGGGGTCCTCCACCAGTTTGGCCTCCCTCAACCTCCCTGAAGGGACAGTCTCCTCTTCCGTCAGAACCGCGTCTTGCTCCATGTGATGGTGAGAGCTCTGTCGGCGTTCGGACGACTCGCCGTACCGATCTGAGCTCTCTTGAAAATCGTCTTCATAGGGACCGGCTTCTTCGAACCGGAATTCGTCCTCCTGGAAGACAAAGAACGACTTACGTGAAGTTTGTTTCAGATTTTACCTAGATGTAGGTTATTAAAAGAGATAAAGACTTGTCACGATTTTTTTGGTCTACATAGCATTGCCGCATCTATGAAGAGTAATTTGAAAAACGATATTTCCAGGAGAAGGAGTATGTCCAAAACTACTAGAGTAATGCCACCTCAACACAAAGTTTAATGATGAATGTGTATGTTTTGTGCCCAGTCAATGTCATTCTGGATATGAAGGCATAACGGGTGATTTTTTAAGAGGTATAGGATTTGATTTTCAAAAAAAACATAAAAAATTTGAAAAAACGATTGAATCTTTAATTGAGTCGATTGAATCTTTAATTGAGTCGATGGAACGGTCGATATAATTTAATGTTTAAAGATTATTTCATGTAAATGTTGGCCGCGGCTCCGCTTTAGATGGCCCATGCGCAAGGTCCAATTCTGGCACACTCTCTCCAACATATCGGCCGGTATCTCACGAATAAATGCTTCAATATTAGCTTCCAGTGCGTCAATCGTTGCTGATTTATCCCTGTAGATATTAGCCTTCACATGGCCCCACAAGAAATAGTCCAACGGCGTAAAATCACACGATCTAGGCGTCCCCAAACGTGAGATAAACTGTTCACCGAACTCGCCTCTCAATGGGGCCATTGTTTCGTGTGCGATGTGGCATGTGGCACCGTCTTGTTGAAACCACATATCAGCCAAGTCCAGCTCTCCCATTTTGGGCAAAAAAAAGTTTGTTATCATCGCACGGTAGCGCTCGCCATTCACAGTTACGTTCCGGCCATTGTCGTCTTTAAAGAAGTACGGCCCGATGATGCCACCGGCCCATAATCCACACCAAACAGTGATTTTTTCGGGATGCATTGGTAGCTCTTGCAATGCTTCTGGCTGGTCGGCAGTTTGCTTGTTAACGTACCCATTCAACCAGAAATGAGCTTCGTCGCTGAACACAATTTTTCGATAAAAATGTGGATCTTCCTCCAACTTCGCCAGCGCCCATTCACCAAATTGGAAACGTTGTGGGAGGTGGTGTGGCTTCAATTCTTGCAGCAGCTGTGTCTTATAAGGTTTTACATCCGAATCCGGTCGCAAAATTTTCCGCGTAGTGGAGTAACAGAGGCCCAATTGCTGTGAACGGCGGCGAATCGACATTTCACGGTCATCACTAACACTGGCGGATACAGCCGCAATATTTTCTTCAGTCCTGACTCTACATCTGCGTGTTGGTGGTTTAATGTCCAATAATGTAAACTGGGTTCGAAATTTAGTCACAAGCTTCCGAATAGCTCCCTCAGTAGGCCAACTAAATTGCCCATAAATTTGAAGCAGTGCTCGATGCACTCTCTTAACCGAGCATGAATTTTGATAGGTAAAATTCAATAATTTGCAAGCGTTGTTCGTTCGTAAGTCGATTCATGGTTATATTATAGACCAAACTGAAAAAGTTTGACAATGACACAAGACACGATTCACGCGTCATCTGTAAAAAACAGTGTTGCCAAAAAGATACTAGCAAAAGAGTCACCCATTATAATCAAAAAAAGGTTTCATAATGTTGTACCTCTACAAATCAGATCAAACCCGTTTCTTGGGCAAAACAGATGTGTAGATAATAAGTGTGGTGTCAGTTTCACGCATCATTTTCCATTTCCATTTATCCAGGAAAATATTATTTAGTACAAGAGTTATACAGGGTGTTTCAGAACTATGGGATCTAGTTTGTAGGGACTATTTAGGGTAACAGTAGAAAACATTTGAGTATAGGGACCCACATCCGGCGCTTGTGTGCTGTTATCTTTAAAAACGATAACAGATATTGTTTTTTGTAGCTGCACTCCATATCGCCTTAGTCGTGCTATCGTCCTTGCGAAGTTTGCACGAACTTAACACAAATTACTTGTTGCTAATGGAAAACTTTATCAATCAAGAACTGGCGGATATGCATTTGGCACACGGAACCGCAAGCTGCAATGCACGAGCAGCAGCGCGGATGTACCAAGAACGTTATCCCGATAGCATCCGAGATACAGAAAGTTCATTGCTATCCATCGGCGGCTCTCCGAGACAGGCATGTTTAAAACCAACATGCATGATTCTGGTGTTGCTCGAACCGTAAGAATGGTCGAATTAGAAGAAGAGGTCCTTCAGAGAGTTGACGACGAACCATCAAGTAGCACACGTCACATGAATACGAGTAACGCTTCCGTCTGGCGGGTGCGACGCGAGCAACAACTTTATCCTTACCACTTCCAGAACGTTCAAGGACTGACTGCAGCCGACTATCATCCTAGCGTTCAATTTTGTCAATTAAATCGCTGCACAACCAAATTTTTTACGCAACGTTTTATGGACCGATGTAGCCTCTTTCACATGAGACGGTATTTTTAATAGTAGGAATAGCCACGTTAGGGACAAAGAAACTCCGCATGCAATTTTTCCTAGAAAACATTAGCAACGTTGGTCTGTTAACGTACGGGCAGGCATTGTTGATGATTATTTGATAGGGCTTTACCTTCTACCGGGACGGTTAACAGGACTTATTTAATGTCGCTAGATTTTTTCCTGTGGGGACATGTAAAGTCTTTGGTTTACGAAACTCCAGTAGAAACAGAGCAAGACTTAAATGGTCGAATTACAGCAGCATTTGAAATCATTCAAAACGAGTACCAGATTTTTAATCAAGTCCGTCTACAGTATATTCAGATAAGAGATAGACCGGATGTAAACAAAAGGTTCGGGTGATTTTCACGCTAACGCTGCCGTCTCGACGTAAAACAGGAGCCCTCATTGGTCAATTCGCAATTAAATGCCTATGCCGAGCGGCAGAGCAGTCGTATCAAGGCAGAGTCACATTCAGGTTCAGACGTGTTACGTATGTCGTGTGCATCATTGCAATTTGATATTTCTTTGGACGTTTTCGTTTGTTATCTTATTAAGTTGTTGAGTTTGTCGTTGTTATTGTTATACCTTGTTATTGATTGTTATTGTTATCAACTGCTTGCGCAAAATGCTCAGTAGTACAGATACTGCCGATGAAGATGTAAACTCCTGTAGTCCACCTAGGAAACGCTATAAAAAAAGACACCTGAGCGTAGAAATGAAAGAGGTCATTTTGAATATATATAAGATCGAGCGCGAGGAGAACGAGGCATCAACCATCAAAGAAATTGTTGTGAAGGTTTCTCACAAAGTTGGGGTGTGTCGCGCATCAGTGTTTAATGTGTTAAGACAATACAAAAAAAATCACACCTTTTCTGAGCCAATGACCAGTAAACATCGCAAAAGTATTGTTAAATCATTGGATGAAGCTGATAAGCATGCGATTAGGAGGAAAGTGCATGAATTCTTCTTTAGGAATGAAATACCTACTATAGATAAAGTACTGCGGGAGGTAAATGGAGATACAACGTTGCCAAATTTCAAACGATCAACTTTCCATGCGTTACTGAAGCATTTAAACTTCAAATGGAAAAAACGGGGTCGTAATAGTTTACTACTGGATAGAGAAGAAATTGTGCTATGGAGGAGGGATTATTTAACAAAAATTGGGAAATATAGAAATCAAAACAGGAAGATTTATTACCTTGATGAAACGTGGGTAAACGCAGGACACACTACAAGTAAAGTATGGGTTGATGATTCTGTAACTTCATCCAGGAGGGCCTTTCTAGATGGACTGTCCACCGGATTAAAAAATCCAGCAGGTAAATACGAGTAATAGACAACAATCGGATGTTTTTCAAACCTTGGGAACAAGGTTCTAAACATTAATTCCAGGGGGCAGATAAAACATATTACAAGTAACAAAACTTTTATAACTTTCGATAAAATGCGTGGATGTTTTATTGTCATTTTCATTTGTTAGAACTTTTTTAAGCCATTTTTTATGTGTTTTCGATATTTCAATAGTTTTTTAATATAATCTTAAAATATGTCGAATATTATAAACTTAAAAAAGTTACTAAGTTTTATATTGTGTACCGTTCCTAATATTTCTAATCATTTTAGTTCATACTTTAAGCTTTATAAAGTTATAATTTGTTAATATTAATATTTGCGCGTATTTCAGGTTCCTGATCATTCATTTTTTAAAGGTTTATAACTTTAAATTAAATTGTGTAGCGCTGAGTAATCATACGACGTTCAATATTCTTTCTTTCAATATGACTAAATAATCCCAATTATAGCAATCTGATACTCATGTCTCAATGTTTTTTCTCTGAATGTGATGAAAACATTTGAAAAAGGTTCGCTTATTGAAATAAATCTACACCAGTTAGTACTTCGAATTCCAAGTAAAGGGAAAAGGCTCATTATCTGCCATATTGGCAGTGAGGATGGATTTGTTGTTGACGGTCTGTGGTGCTTTGAGTCTAAGAAAACTGGAGATTACCACGAGGAAATGAATGGCGAATCGTTTGAACAGTGGTTTTCAAAAATTTTACCGAACTTAGAGGAAAACGCAGTAATTGTGTTGGATAATGCGCCTTATCATTCTCGAAGAATGGAGAAGGTCCCAACAACGGCTTCAAGGAAAGTTGATGTTCAAAATTGGCTCCGCTCGAAAAATATCAACTTTGAAGAAGCAATGCTGAAAGTACAATTATTAAGAATTGTCAAGGATCACAAGGCGGAATATCAAAAATACGCCATTGACGAAATGGCAGCAAGTCAAAATAAAACTGTGATCCGTTTACCTCCATACCATTGCGAGCTCAATCCCATTGAGCTCATATGGGCAGAGGTTAAAAATTATATAGCTAAGCACAATACAACTTTTAAATTTTGTTACCTCAAAGGACTTTTCAAAGAAGCACTAGAATTAATAATAGCGCAAAAATGGGAAAACTGTATTAAGCACGTGAAAGACAAAGTTGAAAAGAGAATGTGGGAACTGGACAATATTTTAGAGGAACAAGTCGAGCCATTCATTATTGACGTTGGTGCTTCAGGCAGTAGCGATGATGAAAGCTCATCAAGCTCATCTTTCCAATAAAAGATGTCGTTCATCAAATTCGGTAAGTTATAAGTAATTATAAAGCTACTGTATTTTTTAATTAATTATTGACATTTTTGAACCCATTTTGGCAAAACCTATTCAAGAATCTACTTTCTGACAATGTTCAACCATGCACATTTTTTAACGTTTTGAACGTTTTAATTTGGTTACATATTTACCTAGAAATCAAAAAATATACTAATCAATATTCTAAAAGCAATTTTAAGAGATATACGATTATTTTTAATTTAGGCTAATTTAAACGCCATTTTGAGATTATATTCGACTGTATTTCACCAAACATCAGGCGGCATCCGAAGCTGGAAATGGAAGCGAAAATTTTGAAACCCTTATGTATATTTACATCACTATATATTTCTTACCCCACCCCCACATGGTCCTATATCCATCACCAATCGTATACACATCGAATTGTGCTAATTTACTACAAAGTTACGCAAAGCAGCATCTACTATCTAAAATATGTACTGCGTGACTCTTAATACGTCCCTGCCGAATGTTACAGCGTTCGATGATCACGTGGTCTTGTTTATGTCCGGTCTATCTCGTATCTGAATATACTGTAAATCATGAGCGACGTTTAAATCCGTGTATTGAGGTTGGAGGAAGACATTTTGAACAATTGTTGTGATGATATCATGTACAAAAGGCAAAAAATAAATGCATCAAATCCTATTTAGGCAATTCATCGTCTTTCTAAATTTTAACGCGTCTTAGGGCCGTTGTGACACTTTTCCGGATATGGGTCGCTGTACTCAAATGTTTTCTGCTGTCACTCTGAATAACCCCTAGAAGTTTGATCCCTTAGTTCTGAAACATCCTGTATAGATACTGGAAAAACAAGGAGGCGGTATTAAAATAGTTTCATCTTCCGCCCCGATTTACTTACTTATTTGCATACAAAAAACTACGTTTACGAGGGATGTCTTTTAAGATTTGCATATAGAAACATAGTAGGCCGTGACTTTTCTCGAACATAACCGCGCATTTGACTTTGAAGGTCATTCATAAGCTATTCCGATATATTCAAAATATTTGCCTACTTTTGACTCCGCAAAATTTTACTTCCGCCTGTTATTTTAACTTTACGGTCACGGACAAGATCAAGGTTGCTTGGATCACATTACTGTATCAAACGCGAAGCTTTACGGAATCAACAAGCTGCTGTGTAAGGCCCATATCGTCAGTCGTCCCTACAATTGTAGGGCGCGTTTATGGCCTCCTTGATTGTCATACTCCTTTCTCTCCTTCAAAAATTTCTAGATTACACTTGTCCCGTGTCAGCATCAGCGCTCTCCTATTGTGAAGATATGTTTTCTTTTTGAATTGTAGGAAATTTCAGGCTGATAAAACATGATATAACTCAAAAGCAAGCACAACTTGATGCAAATAGATGTTTGTGACATAACCTCAAAATACAGCGCTGACACGGAGAAGTAGAAAACTATGACAATCAAGGAGGCCATAAAGACGCCCTACAATTGTAGGGACGACTGACGATACGGGCCTTAGTCCTTCTTGTTTGGTACTATACTAGGCTATTTTCTTTGATGACGAAGATCTGACTAACCTAGAGGTTTGAACGCCAGATGATGTTCTAAGAAAGTTACATTTTTCGTGAACATGACCTTGCCCCGGAGCATGAAGGTTAGTTACGAGGGATTTTCTTTTAAGTTTTGCGTATAGAAACATAGTACCTAGACCGCGCGGATCGAACGTCAGTACTGAATCTTAACCTCACTCTTTAGTACATTTAAATTCAAAGTTTCACAACAATACGTGCAGTGTTCTCACTACAGTGAATTTTTACGTGTCATCAAGTCATTAGAAAAATGGAACTTAACCGAGAACATTTCCTCTTAATGAGCAAAGAACTGTTACCGCGGATTGGTATACCACCATTTGTTTGCCAAAAGTCATCACCGAGCTTCGAAAAATCAACCCCGAAAGAAGAATCGTCCTCCACCAAGACAATGCAAGCTCGCACACAGCCCAAACAACAAGGCAACATTTAACGAAAAAAAACGTAGAATTATTGGACCATCCTTCATATAGTCCCGATCTAAGTCCTAACGATTTCTTTACTTTCCCGAAAATTAGAAACAGACTGCGTGGTCAAAGATTCCAGTCACCAGAAGAAGCAGTTGACGCATTCAAAAATGCCGTTTTGGATCTGCCAGCAAACGAGTGGAATAAGTGCTTCACAATTTGGTTCGAGCGCATGCAGATGTGTATTAATCTTCGTGGAAAATACTTCTAAAAACAATAAAGTCAATTAAAACTACCTACCGGGTTGTTTTATTTCCATATGCGAAACTTAAAGTATATCCCTCGTATGTGACAGAATACAGTAGCTTTGGGGTGATTCACAAGTGTGACCAAAAATAAAACATCATACACTCGACTGGAATGTAACATTGTTTTCTCGAGGGCTTCATTGAAGTTCAAAAATAAAAAACATTTTTTTTAATATCTTCATAACCGTCAACTGGAATGAAAAAAATTTGGTTTGTGGATTTGCCAGATTTAAAAGTCCTTACCGAAAATTAACGGATAAGTGGCATTATTTTTCGAAATAAAAATAGTACGCCACTGTTTTTTTCGAAACGCGATATTCGACAAACCTTCAACTTACTCTTGTTTTTTCCTAAAGTACATTATTTTCGTGAAAATAAAAAACAAATTAGATAATCAAAGCTTCATTTCAATATACTTTAAGAAACACTATTCTGACGGCAGCAAGTGCGACATCTTTTTAATAAAGGAAAACGTATTTCCGCTAAATTTGTTGTGGCTTGAATTTGATGAAACGCATTATCTATTCTTTCTTGTAACTGATCAACAGTATTAATTTGTTCAGCATACACTAACATAGTTGTTTAAAAGTGGCCCACAAAAAGAAGTCCAGGGGGTTCAAATCAGAAGACCTTGCATTGCAGGCCAATTGGCGAGTCCGTTTCTGTCTAAAATAATTATTTAACGATGCGGTATGTCACGACGAACATGAGGTGGGGCACCGTCCGTTTGGAAAAATAATGGCATTAATCCCCTGTAACTCCGCTACTGATGAACGTTAATTTTAGTTAAAGACTTTTGAATGTGAACAATACTTAGGTAAATCCACATACCAAATTTAGGTTTATATATTTGAGGGTTTTGAAGATATCAAAAAAAATGTAAATATACAGGGTGTTTGGTGCATCGTCTGCCAAATTGAAATGACGGACAGGGGAGGTCTTTTCTATCACCCCAGGTTCCTCAAACAGTTTATAAATAAAAAACTACATGCTGCTGGCAAGTAATGTTGATTTTGTAAGATTGGTACAACATCACCCATTAAGATAAATTAATCATTAGGTGGACATACTCTTTATTTTTTTTATTCCACCTTGTGTATTACATTTTGGAGTTTTTACTAAAAAAAAATTAAAAATCTACATAATTAATTCCTTTGGGCTAAAAACTGTTTAAGGGACCTGGCGGCATAGAAAAAGACCTCCTCTGTCCGCCATTTCAATTTGGCAAACGATGCACCAAACACCTTGTATAGGTTATATTTGACATTTTCTAGAAATACTGCCGCCGAATCACCCTGTAGATAGTCAGCTAGACAGATCGCTTCGTGCAATTATTTTGCCAAGTTAGAGTTCGTATACAGGGTGTCCGCAAACTTGGGGTTTTCCTTTCCAGAAACAACTACCCTTGAAATAACAAAGGTAATGTGTAGTGAAACGAGGGCAACCAAGTAAAAAAAATAAAGGAAAAAGTACTCACTCTCCAGTTGACGAGAAGGGCTAAGTACGTCTCTGCCCGAAATCATACCGCTCCAACAGAAAATGAAATCAGCTGATGCGCTACCGAGCAGACGCCGGCGGTGCTGCAGACCACGAACAGAGGTAACAAATATGACGGCGTTGCCGCGTTTTCAGTTTTTAGGTAAACGTACTTTATAGGTATTGTTCGAAGTTATCGCCGTTTGATTCAAAAACACAGGTGCGTGCACGACGTAGCCAAGCATCGGTGCAGGCTTTGAGAATGGAGTCCCTCCCCCGAATGAAAGCACCAGCTTGTTCAATTCTGAGACGAAGTTCGTCAACCATATGCACTTCAGTTTTGTACACTAAGCGTTTCATTTCTCCCCCAAAGAAAAAAATCACATGGTGTTAAGTCTGGAGATCGCGGAGGCCACGCTACGGGTCCATTACGTCCGATCCACCTATCCGGAAATAATCCATTCAAAAACTCACGCACTTCGCGTCTAAAATGGTGCGGTGCACCATCGTGCAGAAACCACATTGATTGTCTTACACTTAATGGCACATCTTCTAACAAGGAAGGCAAAATGTTGCGTAAAAAGTCTAGGTATTGCATCCCGTCCAATCGATTTGGGAGAATAAATGGTCCAATGAGCATACCGTTCACCATGCCAGCCCAAACATTCACCGAAAATCTTTGTTGAAAATGTGCCCGACGGACAGCGAGCGGATTTTCTACTGACCAAACATGAGTGTTGCGAAAGTTATTCACCCCATTACGCGTGAACGTAGATTCGTCTGTCACCAATATGCACTTCAAAAGGTCCGGATTATTGTCATGTTGATGCAACAACCACTCACAAAACCGCACTCTTGCTGGAAAATCGTCAGGTTGAAGGGCTTGTACACGTTGGACGTGAAACGGATACAGCTCCTCTTCACGCAGCGTTTGCCACACTTTAGTTTTTGATACTTGCACTTCTCTAGCCACGTCTCTAGTGCTTGTTGAGGGATTCTCGTCTACGCGATTACCTCTACACGCGTAACCGTAACCGTCGGTTGAAGGTTGCATACTGACCTGACACATTGACCCCGACCCAGTTCTATCGTCGGGTTGAGCCAGTGACCTTGTACCACTCGGTGATGTCGCGGGTCGCGGCTACAGGACGGTATTCAGATATTTTTGATGTTGCAGAGCCCTTTATCTCGGTTCCCTTAAGACATTGGTGTATATGGTACTGAGAAAAATTGCTTATGTTTTCAAGATCTACACGTCGTGTAAAGGAAAACCCCAACTTTGCGGACACCCTGTATATTGCCCTACCTGCGGATACATCCTGGCTTCATCCAAAACGGGCAACTGCTCCCCGAGACCGTTTGGCCCGACCTCTCTGTACGCCCCTCTTTCAAGGTCGAACGAATACATCGGCCCAGCGCCCTCAAAATCATTCAACTGTGCCTTCTCCCAGTCGATGATCTGCCTCAGTTGCTGGATACGTCTCGGTATGGCCTCCAATTCTGCCATTTCGCGCTCCGTCAGTTCGGCGTATTCATCCTGCTGCTGCTGAAGCAGGGGGTGCCGCAGCCTACTCAGGTAACTATCGTAGTCGTACTTCTTTAGACGCAGCTTGCGGTTCTCGTCCATGTAGTTCAGCTTCAGACCTGGAACAAAGCGATTAATATTGAAATTGAACTACACAGCGCCTCAGCACAAGACCGTTATGTTCCAGAGATCGTTCGTGCATCTCCTAGTCAGTCGCCGTGCGCTTCGCGGGTTCGAATCCCGTCCCAAGAGAACTTTTCTCTTGACTATGGATGTTGTGATTGTCCGTAGGTGGAAACGGTCTCTGACTGTCGAACGTGTTCCCTTGCCAGAGTCCGTGTGGCGTCTTCCCCTTTCCCCTATAGCCCCACGGTACCCATGGGTGTTTACGTCTTCGTGGTAGTTGGAGTATAAAAAAATGTAGGCCCTCTTACTCGATTGTCCCGAAAGGAAGGTGCTGCGACCGCAATGCCAATTTTACTTTAACTCCTATTGCTTGCTCTGCCGCTGTTTTTTCTTGGAACTAAATTTGGTCGCGCCATTTTGTGAAACCGACATGTTTTATAAACGTTAATTACTGTGCAAGTGGCTGTTAAGAAATTTCAGAAGAGACCAGGGGCCTCTGCCGACGTCCGCACCACACCATTTTAGTGCCTCGTGGTTGACCTCACTTTGTTCCTTTCTTGGCCATTTACGGCCCTTAATTTGGGGCATTTTTGCTACCGCCACAGAAGGTCATAGTAATATTGATGATAAAAATACCAGGAACTACTTGAAATATGTTATTAAAGATCCTGTTATTACTATCACACATTAGGACATATGTTGCAAGCTAGGTCTGGAAAAAGAGTTGGTCAAAGCTCCATGTTATAACTATCAACCACTCACAGTTATACAAACCAATCATTACACAGTATATTGTGATAGATCTAATACAACTAACATAACAATCGCCTTTAGCAGGGTCGGCTGGCCCTTAAGTTCTGCAGAGCTGCAGAACTGCCCGAACTTTTCTCTAAACAGAAAAAAACAGTAGCAATTTGATCATTATTTATTTTCCATGTTATCAGACAAATAGAAACAATACCGGCAACGCTGCCCCCGCAAGACACAGCGTCGAGTCTGTTTTGTATTGAGAAAGCAGTATAATCGACCAATTGTGTACTTGTCATTTTCGTCGCGACCGCAGCGTAACATTATTCATGGGCCACTTGAAAAGGGTCTGTGCACTACTTGGACACAAGCCGCACGCGCTTGCTCTTGTCTCTCTCTACAAAATCAAATGCGCCATTTAAGCATAACTATGTGCTGCACGTTATACAGATCCGTACAGATCTAATGCGAAGTACGATATCTGATTGGTCGGTCGGTGCTCGGGATAAAATTTTTCGGAGCATCTGAATTGGCGCTAAGGGGCCTCGACGAAACCGAGAGCTCCTAAAACCCGGAAATATTTCGTGGATTGATTAATTTTTCTGCTGAGCTTGATGCCACCTAAAGCGAACACATAAAAAATGCTTCAATATTTAAAGGAACTTCGAAATAAATACAAAACGATCTACTGGATTGTATTCTTGAAGTTTGTCATGAAGAAATAATAAAACAGATTAACAGAGCCTTGTATTTGGCGATAATAGCAGATGAAACAACGGGCATTTCGGAAAAACCCAACTGGTAACACTCTTCAGATACGTGTTTAACTGCGAACCAGTAGAACGTTTTTGGAATTATATGAATCCCGAACAATGTGACGCTGATAGTCTCACAAGACATATTTTTAGCGTCGTAGATCCATTAATTGGAAATTTCCTAACAAACTGATTTCACAAAGCTATGATGGAGCCGCGGTATTGAACGGACATAATGCTGGAGTACAGGCAAAATTAAACAAAGATATCCATTTAGTCACTATGTGCATTGCTATGCGCATCAGTTAAACCTGATTATGTCCCAAGTTGCTTCCGCGAATGCTCAAGTTCGGGTGTTCTTTGGGGATTTGAAAGATATTCCGAAATTTTTTAATAATTCTCCTCAACGCGTAGAGGTACTGAGCAGAATTGTGGGGAAAAAATTGACCAAGGAGCAACAACTCCATGGAATTTTAATATTCAAAAAATAAATGTAGTGTTTGAGAACAGAAAATCACTCACTGAATGCATGGAAGGAATAGAAGAAAATTTCACTAATAAAACCGTTTGCAAAGCAGCTTGCGGTATTCGCAGTATGTTAAACGATTCTGTTTTCGAGTTTTGGTTGACATTTTTTCATCATGTCATGCCTCACGTCGACATCTTGTTCAACCAGTTGCAGAAGAGAAAAACCGAGCCAGCGCAAGTTTAAACGGCTATCGATAATTTTGAAAAATGTATTGTCGATGTGAGAAATAAAATTGATGACATAGTAAATGAAACCAAAAGTATTTGCACTGAACCCCAAGGCAACAAAAGGAGACGACGTAATAATAGCAGTCACGATCACCGAGTTGCCGCATTAGAAGTATGCAACAATATAGTGAATTCTGCAAATGCAAGATTTCAATTCAAAGATCATTTGGTAGCCGCATCTCTTTTTTGCCCCGAACACTTTGGAGAATACTTTGGTAAGTTTCCTGATGACAAGTTGGAAACTACCTGCTTGGCTTATCCCGAATTAGAAAAAAGTCGTTCAAAGACAGAGTTGTCTGTTATTTATGCACGGAATGATTGGCGAGATTTACATGAAACTCTGTCTCTTTTGAAATTTTTGATACAAAATAGTTTGGTCGAAACAGTAAAAGAAACAAAAAAGCTATTAGAAATTATTGTTACAGCTCCTATGTCAAAATCAGAGGTTGAGCGAAATTTCTCAACCTTGAAAAGAATCAAGAATTTTCTTCGTAATACTATGACCCAGGATCGCCTTACAGCGTGTCGATGCTGTCCATTGAGAAGGAATTTATTTCGACCATGGAAAATTTGAACGGGAAGGTGATCGACAAATTTGCTGTCAAGACGGAGCGCAGAATCGAACTGACACATAAAAAATAGGAAGGTCGGATTTGCAGAACACCTGTTTTATTTTGCCACGAGCCGCCACTGGCCTTTAGCAAACCAGATATCGTGATAAGAGATGAACAAGCTAAAGAGGCGTTCGTTATTGAAATTGATGTACCCAACACACATACATTACCAAGTACAATAGCAGAAAAGAAACGTAAATATGGTGGCTAGCAGATAAAATAAAAAAAAGTGCCATCTTACTAAAGGGACTGTAGTAGACGTGGATGCTCGACATATACAAAGAAGACACCTGAGATGACCCAACGAAAAAAATAATAATATTTATTTCCAAAAGCACTGTTACATTGTTGTTACATTGTTACATACACTCAAAAAAAGATTTAAATCAGAGCCAGGAAAAATCGCGAAGGGCTCAGAAAGACAAAAACAACAAAAAAATATCAAGAACAGAGAAAGTCTTCCACTGTATAAAAACAATTTTCTATCAAATATGCCTTGCAATACCTTGTAAAACGACATAAATAAAATTATCACTTCTACTCAAATTATTCGGTATTATGTTGTAAAGTCCCATCATACACGTATCAGCGTATTATCTAGCGGATACACTGTGAATAATAATAATAATAACAATAATATATTTATTTCCAACAGGTATACACCCAATCACAGGAAATCAAAACAAAATAGTACCATATATACACATGTATATATATATATATATACACACATACATATATACACATATATATATATATATATATATAGACAATGAATCAGAAAATAATAACAAAAAAAAGAAAATAGAAAAACATTAGTGATCTGAATGAACACGTAATACATAGGTGTTTGAATAATTAAACACTTCCACAAAAAAGAGAAGAAAAAAAAACATAAAAGTGCTCCAGTTGAAGAATAACAATAACTGACACCATCAACAAAACGATTTTATCTCAACTGCTCCCTGTAAATGTTTAATATTTTATTAAGACTGTCATGACATACATCAGCTCTGTTATAGATTGAATTGAATAAGGTACACATTACCATTACTGGGGATCTGCATAAAATATTAGTCCGTGGTGAATTTGACCAACTGTCCTAGATTTATTTTTGAAGTTGAGTCATTAATTTTCAGATAATGATTGTAGAAGGAAGATAAACCAAAACATGTGTGTAAAAATAAAAAAAAATTAAAAAAAACTTTTTACCTTGTTTTATAAAGTATCCTCCCGACAAGTATTTCAGTGCGGACCTGTATTTGATCGTGAGGTCTTGGAGTACCGGCATGCCCTCCATATGTGAGGTCTTAAGTCAAATGATTCACGAACCCGTTGTACTACATTAACAAAGGCACGAGGGGTTGGTTGCACTCGATTGGGAAACCGATCCGCATAAACATGTGCCATTTTTTATTTCGTTTGAGCCACGCAACAGACACCACTATCCAATACCGACTGACACTGACTGTATACAACTGAATGAAATAATTGTAAAAACATCGTTCCAAATTCTTTCGCTTTTTTGTTTCCGATGCGATGAACCGATAAGGCGAATTATATCCGTTGTCGCCAAACACGAGCACATAATATTATTATTGAGACAGGGCGGTACTCAAACTTCCAAAGGGCTATAACTTTGTTACTTTAATTTTACCAGAAAAATGGTAAAGGAAAAAACATTTCTTTTGATCAGATCTACTCACTGTTAAAATAAATGACTCAACTTCGAAGTCACCCTGTATTTTTATAAACGTAAATGTACATTTGAAATATGAAGAGGCTGGCTACTGGTATGATACCGTATCTCAAGAATAACTCTTTACACGAGTGTCTGTTAGATACCCTAATATCCTCTTTTGTGCCACAAGCACGTCTTCTGCTGATGTTCTCCCACCCCAAAAACAAACACCCTAACCATAGATAGTATTTTAGCACCTGGGTATGTGCGAGAGACGCTAGAAGAGAAATCTACCTAGCCATTAAACAAAAGACGTACGATTTTTTGATAATATAATGTCCACCCTACATCAATGCATCTTATGGAAAAGATGCTATTATTTGACATATTATGCTTGTGCGTTTCAATTGTTTTTTCATGGCTAGGTGGATTTTGGCAAAATGTA